ACTTCACGGCACATAACAACATGAGTCGGAAGAGAGGCTTTTCTCTCATACTTTGGAAATGTTGTCAATGGGGACCAGTCCTTGGAGAAGGATATCATGTTTGATAAAGTGAAGAGTCAGAGAAAAAGAGGAAATCCCCTAAGGAGATGGATTCGCACAATGTCGGAAGCGATGGTCTCAGGCGTAACAACGAGGTTGTCCCAGGACCAGGCAGTGTTTCCTTCTGTTGTACATACGGTCGCTATGAGTCCATACCAGCTCAATGGCACCTAACAATGACAATGAATCAGAATCAAATAGAGGCACTTAACAGCAAAAACAAGAGGCGTTCGAGGTGAAGTTTGTGTCTGATATTGTAAGTAAGTGCCTTCGAGCCCGTTCAGGGCATTAACCCACAGCACCACACCAGAACTCGGGGATTTATATTAAAGAGAGTTAAAGAAAGTCTCTTCTTCCAGTGTGGAACCTAATAGATAATATGTCGTTTTTAGGTACCTTCGAATCAGTTTCCACTCATAGAGACTCAGAATAGGGTTTCGGAGGAGCGGCTGTTGAGTTTGAAGCCGCTCCTTGGAAACCCTACACAGGCTCGGTATAGTGGGAACCCATTCGACGGGGACTTAACAACAATATTCTTGCGGTTCAAACTGACCTTGCGGTCCTGCGCTTATCCTACAACGCCACACCAGGACTCCAGTAGAAAATCCATATAACTGAAAAAAATCAGGAGAGAGAAATATAGATGTTTTGTTATACAATATGTTGTTGTTAAGTGCCATTGATGCATGTTGAAAAATACAAAAGATTCAGCTAAAAGAGTTAAAAGAAAAAATGAAAAAAAATAATGAGGAACAGGGAGTACTATTTTAACAACAAGATTACTAAAACTAATTTTTAAACTAAGTACATATGTAATTTGATGAAAACAATTAATGAAATAAACTATAGCAACAGAAACTGTCTTAATGCTATCATCCTCTCTTCTAATCCCCAGACATAATCATTCTATACTTTGATATTTAGGAAATCATTGTCAAAAACCAAGCAAAACTCTGTTTTGTTTTGTAGTTCTTTATATAAACATGCCATCAATGTATTCATGAATTCTGAGAGTAACTATTGTCTGATTTAAGTATCTTTGCAATATTTCAGCATTTTAATCTATTCCAGAGTAAACAAGAAACACACTAATCCAGTAAAAATTTGCAACAATAATAATAACTAATACTTATTAAGTACCTATTTTGTGCAAAGCATATGAAGAGGTCATCCATAGACCAGTAAAACAGGTCAAATTGCTATCTCATCCTTAAAGGACACAATTGCAGGTGAACAACGTTTGTTCTTTAGGGTAGGTAGAGTCTTGGTGTGACACTATAGGTAAGCACCGAACTGCTAACCACAACATCAGTGGTTCAAACCCACCATCCGCTCCTCTGAAACCCTATACAGGATTGCTATGAGTCAGAACTGACTTGATGGCACTTAACAACAACTACGGTTGGAGGGCAGCTATAAACTTTGCTTACAAAGTTGCCCCTGTGTAACTGAAATAGGAACTTTCTTGTGACGCTCTCATTTCTGGTATGCTTTACAAAGTCTCAGATCAACTTCTAGCAAGCCATTGTTGGGCTTGAGGCACTGATCCCAAGAAGCCTAAGTCTCCTAACTCTTTAGGTCCTATTCACTATAAATGGAGCATGAGGTTCTCATTATTTGGAGTCCCTCTTTTTACTGCCATTGTTGTTGTTGTTAACTGCCTTTGAGACAGTTTCAGATTCATAGCAACTCTGTATAGAGTTTCCAGGGAGCAGCTGTTGGGATTGAACTTCCAGTGGTTAGCAGTTCAGGGCTTATTATACAATGCCACACTAGCACTCCTTTTAATGCCATAGTGTTTTCAAAAGAATATTTGATTTTGTTAAGTACCGTCAAGTCGGTTCCAACCCACAGCAACCCTGTATATAGATGAATGAAGCCCAGTGCCTGAGATCTTGCTCACAAACAAAAGCATGAGCTTTTGCTTGTAAAGTGTACAGAGACAGCTTGGCTCCCTTCAGGAACCTTGCTTTATGTTAAGTATCCTTAAGAAACCCCACGTCGCTGCTCTAGATCATTTAAGCCTAAAAGTTAATATATCACAGCTTGATTGAGCCTTTTTTCTGTAGAAATAAGAATGTTAGATTGTTAAGAAAATATCTTAAAAGTTGTTCCTGTGAATCATTATGTCCTGTTTTGAATGATTAATCACATTTCAGTTCTGTATCCTATCTTATCTAAAGAATCACATCCTCCCTTTATGAAGTACATCCTTCCTTTGTAACAAATCCTTCCTTGAAAAAAGAAATAAAAGACTGAGGTAAAGTGAGTGCTGCATGCAATGTAAGACAGTGCAATGTATGCTGCAGACGAGCTTGCCTGTCAGCTTGCATCAAACTTGTATGTCTGTCTTCTTTGTGTTTGCTTCTCTGTCTCTTTCGCCTGCCAGATTTCCCCACTTCGTGAAACTTACTCTAATGTCGAGGCAGGTCGCCGACAAACAACAAGACAATTATGTCTGTGTGAACTGGCATAACTGGCACCCACTAAATATTGTTAAATATAAATGTTTGTCAATGCCTACTGAAAAGATCTGGAACTTGGCACTGATTGATTACCTTTGTTGTTGTTAAGTACCATCAAGTCAGTTACAATGCATAGCGACCCAACCCCCCCTAAGGTGTTTCCAAGGAGCAGCTGATGAATTTGAACTGCTGACCTTTTGTTTCAAACCAATCTTGCGGTCCAGTGCTTTATCCAGCAGCACCACACCAGGACTCCTGATTACCTTCAAGGTAATAGATATTTATTTTGCACTATATGTTTTTAAAAATTAGTATTTATTATTTTTCAATTTAAATATATTTTTAAAATTACACAATATATAGTGGTGGTCTCATTGAGTCAGTTCTGATTCACAGTGACCCTGTATAGGACTTGCAAGGCAGTAAATCTTTATAGGAGCAGAAAGCCTTATCTTTTCCCCATGGAGAGGCTGGTAGATTCGAATTGCTGACCTTGGATTAGCAGCCCAACACATAACCCGCTGCGTTACCAGAGCTCCTTCACACAATTAATTGTTGTTAAGTGCCGCCAGCATGTTTCCAACTCATAGAGATCCTGTATAGTGTTTCTGAGGAACAGCTGGTGAGTTTGAACTGCTGATCCTGCAGTTCAAACTGACCTTGGGGGTCCAGTGTCTTATCCTACTACACCACAGCAAGCCACGATGATTTTTCTTTTTACAGCTATGAAAGGAGTGAGCTCATCTTACACAAATATCCTTTGGTCATAAGTCCTGTGAGAACCTACAAGATGAACAGATATAATTAGGAAAGGTGATAAAATGATGTTAAACTTTATTTGCTGCCTTATGAGTCATGAAAGAATGGGAAGTACAGGTGTTGAAAATTTGAGATTGCATCTTAATATCTAACTAGAAAAGAACGATTATAATTCCCCATATGTTTATTCTCAAATACATATCATGATACAGGATGGTCCACAGGGAGTTTGTTTCAGTACAGAAGCAACCAGGAGTGAATGGCGAGAGATTAAATCAGCGAACATTGTTTTCAGGTACAAAGTTGTTAGACACTTTTTCACAAAATGAATATCTTACACTGGGACTGGCCTACTACGGTGTTATTTTTTCCTGGTAGTTTAGTGATTTCCATTTTATCTGCTTTTGCGGTTTAGAACTCCCACGGAAGCAGCAGTCAAATGACATATTGCATTGGACTAACCTGATGCCAAATGCCTCTTGAAAGTATTAAAAAACAAAGATGTCACTTTGAGGACTAAGGTACACCTAACACAAGCCATGGTATTTTAAATGGCCTCAGATAGATGTGAAAGCTGGACAATGAATGAGGAAGACTGCAGAAGAATTGGTGACATTGAATTAAGGTGTTGGTGAAGAATATTGACAATATCACAGACTGCAAAAAAAAATATTATCTTGGAAGAAATACATCCAGAATACTCCTTAGAAGGGCAGATGGTGATACTTAGTCTTACATAATTTGTTCATGACATCAGGAGAGATCAGTCTCTGTAGAAAGATATCATGGTTGGTACAGTAGAGGGTCAGTGAAAGAGAGAAAGGCTAAACTAGATAGATTAACTGGAACAATGCCTCAAACATAGCAACAATTGTGAGGATAGCGCAGGACCAGGCCATGTTTCATCCTATGAGTTGGAATTGACTTGACAGCACCTAATAACAACAGCTGTTCAGAAATTGAGCATTTTTGTTGCTGTGTGTATACTTTGCTTCTAGGAATTAGGAATCATCTGTTTTAGTAGAAAATGAGTAACTGAGTTTCCTAGCAGCATGCCTTACCGCTGGAGGGAGAAGATAATGAATTTGATCTTGGCACATCCCACAGTATAACAGAAAAATCGAGATCTATTCCAAATAATTACATCTTGTGAATATCTTAGCTGATGTCACTATCAAACTATTTTCACATATACACACTTTTTAAAAACTGCTTTTGCCACCTTGTATTTTTCTGAATCTTATTCTTCTATTTCTTTCGTGTCAACACTGGTAACTCACCTGTAAATTACCTTGTGGACTGTACAAGGGTGAGCGTGTTTACCTTCATGAAAACTGGACAAATGTCATGAAGAAAACAATTACAGAAGGGTGAGAACCCATCGAACTCATTCTTGTTTTCTTGTAAATTCTTTTACACAAATATGCTATTGAACTGGCAGCAGGAAATGAGATACCAGACCTAAATTTGAACCCCATATGATAGAAGTTAGGTAAAATTCCATTACATTTCAATAGTTCTAAGCAAGCAATTTGTTACCCTTTATCCTTTAGTGGAATTGATGAACAGGTGGTTTTCAGAAGATCACTCAGTATATTTAGCTTCTGAAATTTGAGCAACTCATGATCTGATTGGCTGTTCTTGCCATGTGATAATCCAGAGCCCAGGCTCCTCTCTGGCTCTTGTCTGGGGTTCTCAGGAGGGGAGAGTTGGGAGAGACTTTGCTGCTGAGGAAATTTATTTGATAGTTTGAAGGTAAGGCCAGTTTATGGCTTTTTTTAATGTAGTTTTCTTTTAGAAGAGGTTACCCAACTTTCCTTGAGTTATTTTTCAAAGTTTTGAGCCCTAAGTGTGGAAATTATTGATGGAGGCAAGACTAGAAAAGTCTGTAACTCCATTACCTTACTAAGGCCTTACTAATATCTGATATATAGAGTCTGTTCTTAGAGACTAGTTCTATGCTGATCAATTTATTGTTTGACTGAGCTGGCCCTTTTGTTTAAACAAAAATCCCCCCCTCCCCCATTTTTTGCCTTTGCTTTTTTTCTAAATATAATAGCATGAAAAGGCTTTATGTTCTATGTTCCTATATTTATCCTGTTCTACTGAGCTTCATTTGCCTCAGAAGGAGCAGCAGTTTCACTAGCTTAACAAAACCAGTCACGGTGGGGTGTTGGTTTACATGGCAAATATCTTTGGGTGAAGAGACAGCTGCTCTGGGCCATCATTCACTTGTAAGAAGAGAGAATCTCTCTCTCTGGTGTCAAACTAAGAAGACCTTGGGAGAGACATTCTTTAGTTCCTAGAATAGAAGTTTAGGCCAAAGACTCACAATCTCATGTATGTAAACCAATGCGCTGACATGTTGATATTTTTCAGATTTGCACAAGAGCTACAGAAACTGAACAGAAAAAGTCACATAAGTCAATGGTGTTCGAGAAGAAAATAGCCCTATTGCCTTGAGGTTCTTATTTTCCCTTTAAAATGTACTGATAGATTTATTCTTATGTGTTCTAATTCGAAATATCAAATATAAGGTGTAGAATATATTAGAGCAGCATGGAGGTATGAAAGAAATCCCTGTTTTACCTGAATATCAAGCAGATCATTCTTCCACTAACATTTTTGCTTGTAAATGTTTTCTCCAAGTGTTGGGAAATTCAGACATCCTGTTTCTTTTGACTCTGAATCCTCTCCCTGCCCTTACCTCAACTTCCTTTTTAAAGTTCAACTAAATTGATCATAACTTCAACATGTTATAGAGGAAATTAAGAGAAAGAAATCTGAAGCTTCAATTTTTTTTAGAGCTCTATTTTAATTGTTTCTCTCACTCAGCATGCGAAAATATAAGACTATTTAGAATAGGTTATTTTAAATTCTATTTTTATGTTATAAGACACTCTTAGTCCTGGAGAGAGATTCTAATGTATTTTCATTTGTGTGGAATATGAAAAGTTTGTAGGTGCCACTACTACTCTGGGAAAATGGCAGATGACGAAGAATATGAGGAGGTGGTGGAGGTAAGAGACAAAAAAAAAAAAAAAGAAAGAAAGAAATATCTGACAGCAAAGCATTTATGTAGCGACATTCAAAGCCATGTAGGAGAATTAATTATGTAAAAAAGACAATGTCTATTATAAATTCACATTGAAGTATTAGAAAGGAACATTTTACGTTTAGTTTCACTATAATTATGTGGGATTGAGAATTGAAAGGAAATATCACTATTTTCCACTTTTGCTTCTCTTCAAACTTTTGAAAAATAAAGTATGGATAAAGGCAGGTTTTAATGTGTCTTCTAACAATACCTCCCTCCCCACTGATCAAAGGGACAGAGATGAAGAGAAGGTTCAGATCATTGAACTTTATTTCTTAATGTCTATAGAGCAGTGGAGAAAAAAGGACCGCTTCTTGCTTATTGTTGTTGTTTCACTAATTGATTATACATATCTAAGATTTTATGTGTTTAATATAGACACACACAGGAGTCTCACAAACCCAAGCTGGAAATAGCATTTAACCACCAACTCCATTACATCTATCCAACATAACAAGACTATCTTTTGAATTTAAAAGCAAAACAAAGGGCATAGTGGGCAACTTGAAACATTTCCTTCAAATTATTAGTGGACATTCTACAAACACAATTTATAAAGTTGAAAATTGTTTTATGTTTACTTCATATAGTTTTATTTTATAGTGCTGTTTTTTGTTCTTCACCAGCTCTTGTCTTTAGCTTCTAGAAATAAAAGATAAAGGCTTAGGGCTATAATCCACATAAGTGTACTGCCATCAATCTAAAAGAGATTCATAATTATCAATTAATGATGTTGGTCTAAACATAGGAAAAATGTCAAGTGCCTGATTGCCTTAGAGGCAGTTTTGAAAATCCTTGGTTGTCAATAGAATGGACATGAACTTTTAGAACTTTCCAAAACCAAATTCCAGATGAAAGAGGAAAAAACTGTCCTTGAAAGATTATTTTACTGACCAGTCTATATTTAGACCAAGAAAGTTTATGTTGTTCCATAAAGAAAATCCTTCTTATTACTGAAGGGTGACTGAAAAACCAGAACACATTTTTATAGAATGTAAAATTCAGCCTCTCTGGCTTAAATGCCTAAGGTAGCATTGACAGTGATCAATATTATCACTAGTATGGATTTGGTTTATGCCCCTAAGGGTCTGAATAATCATTACCAAACACTAAAACAATTATAAACTCAATTGTTTACCCTGAGGGTAGCACCAGGAACATTTTTAACTTTCAACTTAAGTATCCTTTGTCATTCTTAACATGTGCTCATTTGTCACTGTAAGTTGCACTTAGTGCTCAGCTTGATTGATTTAACTAGATGTCATAAAAATTAGGATGTTCTTTTTAGGTATTCCCTCCTTGCCATTTTGTTCCTATTACTGCTCTGGGTCTGACCAGCAGGCACTAAACTATTAGACTGGCTGTCAGAGAATGTTGAACAGAGAGGTCTCTTTGACCTCAAAAAGATACCATTAGAATGGGATGCTGGCATATTCTGGAAAAAGGTCAGAGATGAAATTAGAAGGACAGAGTTGAACTAGATGTAAAAATTGATCTCCCAGGGATCTTGGACATCTAAAATAAAATTGTGCTGCTGCTCTCTACTCAACCTTAAAGAAACTTGGAGAGAAGGGGGGGAAAATTACTAATTAGTGACATCACTCTAAAAAATGTGAAATTTGGCATACAAGTTAATGCCAGCCATTTGGATAATGCTGTCTTTCTGATAAGCTTATTTCCAAGATATATTTGTCAGTGGTAAGAGCCCAAAAAAAAGTAAAACTGGATGGTTACCAAAGAACTGCTTGCTTTTGCTTGGATGTTAAGAAGATCCCAAATGGTTGTGAATCATTCATGTTAGTTTAAGATTTATTCTCAAGCCACTGATGTTTTGTGTGGGCCAAAAAAGATGTTTCCTTGTGTCATTGTCATCAAGCAGTATTTCCTAGTGTCCCAATAATCTTTTCCTTGTGTTGAAGGCACAAGCTTGTAAAACAGAAGTGCTCTCTTCTGTTATTTCTGTAGCTATGTGAAAAGACATGCCAACATACTTAGGTTTCAAATTAAAAAGATGAAAATATAAGTATAAAGAGTGAGGAACATTAGGCAAGTTTTATACCTGTTAGGACAGGTGACCTATTGATAATTGTTGCATAACTTGATGAGAATTAACTGAGCCAAGTGTAGAGGAAAGGAAGACATGGAGGGAATCTTGCATTTCAGTGTACAGCCCCCAGCTTCATCCCATCCTCACCAGTTATATACAATTGGTGGCAGAGATAAGGAAAGTGAAATGTTTTATATTTTGTTGCTTGAGAAAATGAGCCAAGTGCTTCCTTTTTGTCACTTTCCTTGTGTGGCTTCGTCTAAAGAAGCATTTCCTTCTGTTCACTTATGAGAGCTGGGTAAGGCTGAGGACAGGATTCCATTTTCCTTACGCATCTGAAACAAAATGTCAGCCAGTTCCTTCGTCGTTTATTTCTTGCTGGTGATGTCAGTAGTAGAAAAAACTAGACTTGGATTCACATTCACATTCACTGTCGAAGGCAAATTGCAGGCCAATGTTCTGACACTTTGTAAAAGGAATCATCTAGTATTTTCTTTCTCTTCTTGCCATTTGCAAATTTTCATCGTAACATGCCATAGGACTCATCCCTCACTCCAAAATAAACTCTTGGTGGTGGTAGTGTGCTCATAACGATCCTGAATAGGGTTTCCGAGGCTGTGAATCTTTACTGGAGCAGAAAGCCTCATCTTTCTCTCACGGGACAGCTGGTAGTTTCTAACTGCTGACCTTGAGGATAGCAGCCCGACTTGTAACCACTAAGCTACCAATGCTCCTTTAAATAAACTCTTACCACTTAGTAATTAGCATTTGTTGTAGTTAAGTGCCATTGAGTAGATTCCAAATCAGTAGTAGTTATATGAATAATTGAGATGAGTCTATGATTTGGGGGGAGAACGGTAAGCACTGGACTGTGAACCACAAGGTCAGTCGTTCGAATCCACCAGCCATTCCATGGAAGAAAGATGAGGCTTTGTGCTCCCACAAAAATTTACAACCTCGGAAATCCTATACAGGGTCGCTATGAGTCGGGACCTACTCCATGGCACATAAGCACCACCATCACCAATTAAAAAGGAACTCTGGTAGCATTGTGGTTACAAGTTGGGCTGCTTACCTCAAGGTCAGCAGTGCGAAACAGAAACAGCAGTTCTCCAGGAGAAAGATGAAGCTTTCTGCTTCTGTAAAGATTTACAGCCTCTGAAACCCTATACAGGGGTGGCTATGAGTCGGAACCGACTCCACAGCACACTGCCGCCGCCACCACCAAACCCTATGCAGGGTCGCTATGAGTCAGAACCAACTCCAAAATAGCCAACCAACCAACTATTAATAACCTCAGTCCAGGAGTGGTGCTGCAGATTAATGTGCTGGACTGCAAGATCAGTTTGAAATGCAAGTCAGTGGTTCACGCACACCAGTTGCTGTTTGGAAACCCTATACACGGTCACTATGAGTCGGAACTGACTCAATGGCACTTAACAACAAAAACAATTAGTAACTGGAGTCCTGGTGTGGTGCTGTGGGATAAAGCACTGGAACACAAGGTCATTTTGAACCACAAGGTCAGTGGTTCATATCACCAGCTGCTCCTTGGAAATCCTGTACAGGGTCACTATGAGTCAGAACTGACTTGACGGCACCTAACAACAGTGACAACAATTAATGACCAATCTAAGATCTTTCTAATCACTTTGCAACTCCTGGTCAGCCTGATGGCATTAACTTTGGCTTTCTTGAAGTTTCATACCAAGAATAAGTTCCAAAATCTGAGCAGGACCCCCTTGCCTGCTTCCTTCCTGTAGATATTTCAAATATATCATGTTTGGTAAGGTGGAGGGTCAGAGAAAAAGAGGAAGCGTTATTGGCTCAAGCATGGCAATAATAGTGAGGTTGACCCAGGATCGGGCAGTGTTTCGTTCTGCTGTACATAAGGTCGCTATGAGTTGGTTTTGACTCAATGTCACCTAAGAACAACGACAAGCTAGTGAAGTAATCTAGTGATTAAGCTGAGGAGAGGAGATTTCTGTTTTGGTTCTCATGATACCTTTGTGCTCTATTTATTTATAGTACTACACAGAAGAGACGATTTATGAAGAGGTACCAGGGGAGGTAAGACCCAAGCTCCCTTTGCACTAACTGCCCTCTCCCCTCTCCAACTCCCAGAACCATAGGGATGATAGAAGAGAACATCTGAAGGGGGTTGGTGTCTCTGGTTGGTGCAAATGGTTAATACCCAGCTGCTAACAGAAAGGGTGGAGGTTTGAGTCCACCTGGAGGCACCTTGAAAGAAAGCCCTGGTGATCTACTTCTGTAAAATCAGCCCTTGGGAACCCTACGTAGCACAGTTCTACGCTGACACACATGGGATATAAGTCTGAAATAGCAACTGGCTTTGGTTGCAGGAATGATCACTCATTTATGTGTGCCCAGCAGTAAAGACTAAATGCCACTTACTTAACAGGTTGTTTCACCTTTTTAGCTATTCAGCATTTCCAAGATGACCAGGAATGGTTTCCCCAATTGCTCGTGCAGTATTTTTGGTAGAGATTGCAGTAAGAGAGACAGCCTTGACTTATGATCTGTTTAAGAACAAGCAGGCTCACTGTGTAGACTTGTAGTATGTGCGACACCATCAGTGCCAACAGGTGTGGTGTCTCCTTATGACAAATGAAATGCTACTTGTAATTTAACACATGAGAAAGCCATTCCCATAAGTATTCCAAGTTGAACTTTTTTTTTAAAGATCAGATACCTTTCTCATGATGTTTCATTTTCTGTGTGGATCTGTTTCTTTTTGCTCACAATAAACAATGATATGGCTGTTTAACCCTGAGCGTGCTCAGACCGCATGAACTCTAGTATCTGGAGATGGTGTGAAGAATTAGTTTCTCATGGTCAACTCTCTGTTAATAACAATGGGCAGAAAGTGACCTACTCATTAAGATCTGGAAACACTAAAGAGAGTTTTCATTAATGTACAATTTCCCTATCACTCAAGTTTCTCTTTTTATAATTGATTGTAGAACTCTTACTTTGATGCAGATGATATTAACTGAGTACGAACTTGAAGCATAAGACAGATTTAAGACTTAGCTGCTTATCTTCCTATCTTATGTACAATATTTTTAACCTTGGACTAGAGTCAAATCTTGAGTCTTCCACTATCACCTGTTGTAAGAAACAGTAATTTCCCACTTACTGCATAGAACTATTGTAAAGATAATTGTTCAATTATGTTTTCATCATTATTCTCAGCCACCTAAGCATTTATTAGTGTAAATGGCACTCCAGTTCACATTAATTGACTAAGCCAAGAGAAAGGTAATCACTTAAAATATTGATGTGATTCACTTTTTAAAAAAGTCATTATTACTTGTTTCATACTACAGGGGAGAATGCCTATATGCCTAGAAAACTAGCAACCTGACCTTTTTCTTAAAGTCATTTTAAAGTTAAAATTAAAGTCAAGGATTGGAACTTTATTTGATTGTCTTAACACTTTTTACTCTGATCCTATGTTTGCTTTTTACTTTACTCAGTTTAAGATTTTAAATATTTAAGAATATACTGTTTTTAATTTTTATCCTACTTTGCTGTGCTTGAGTGTCTTTCTGCAAATTGGATTTTAAGCTAATGTTGCAAATTAGTGAGAAGTAACCTTTTTTTACTCCATAGCATCTCTAGTAATGAATACTTAGACTCTTGTAACATATGCATTTTTATAGGGATATAGTGCATTGGCCTATTTTAGGTATGAAGAAGTAACATTAGAAATGTAAGTTTGCCTGAAGTTAGAATAACATGCCAAAATCATGATGCCCATTTTTACTTTTATAATAACACTGAACTGTCAAAATTCCAGACAATAACAGAAGTCTATGAAACCACAACGACAAGGACCATACATTCTGACTATGAGCAACCAGAAGCTTCCAAACCAGCTCTGGCACAGCCAGAGCCGGCAAAGCCAGTGGAGAGGAAGAAGGTTATCCGGAAGAAAGTGGACCCTTCTAAGTTCATGACTCCCTACATTGCACACAGTCAGAAAATGCAGAATATCTTTAGCACAGTAAGTTTCAGACAACTTCCTTCTAACCTAATTTCATTACTGTGAAACTAATGATCTCAACCAATTTCTTTGGATGCTGGCTGGATTGTGTTTCTCAACCTTATATAAAACAAAAACCTGCTTGGCAAAACTGCAAGCTTTCTCCCTGTGATTCTTGAAATTTCTTTTTATTTGCACTTCTGCAGCATTAAGGAAAGCATCTTTATAGAAATTATACTTGAAAAATAAGTATATGACCAATTATAGAGCTTTTAATATCATTATTAGTCAATCTAGAGTAATGAAATCATAAATATTTATTTGAGTTCTGTTGATGGAAATTAAATAACATATTTAATTTAAATAAAATAAAATAATTTTATTAACTAACTGTGTCTGAGTGGAATAGTCTGTTAAGTAGATTTGTTGATAGAAGTCCCTGAGTGGTATAAATGTTTAAGCCCTTATCTACTAACTAACTAAAAGGCTGGCAGTCTAACCCCATTCAGAGATGCCTCAGAAGAAAATCCTGGCCATTTGCTTCTGGAAGTGCACAGCAATGAAACACTCTATGGAGCACAGTTCTACTCTGTAACACATGCTGATTGCTTGTGGTGAGATGGGGTCTCACTGGGTGGCCAGACCACATGTCATCTGGAGAATTAAACAAATGAAATGTAGCTCAGGGGAAACTTTGGTTGATATAGAACTAATGTATATACTGAAAACATCCTGTGGTTACTGGCCAATAAATAGTCATCATTTGGTTGAGTGTTAACTCTTAAGAACTATTTGGTAAATTTCTAATTCAAGCTTGAAATGATTCTTGAATGATCTAAGACTTAGGTTTCTAACAGCAAGTGAGATTTTCATAACAGTATTCAGCAAAGATAGACTTTTTTGTTGTTGTTCATTTACAGCCGTAAATTCTCATTAATGTAGATACCAGAAACCTCTAACTTCTGATATTCTAAATGGAATGTTGACTATGTTTTATAAGATTTAAAAAAATGGTTAGTAACTAAATCAATAGGATAATTTAGGTTGTTGACTACTCTACTCAAGAGTACTGTTGAAGCAATAACAATGATCAATTATATGTATTATTATTAAAGCAAGAACTCATGGTATAATAAAAGTGCACTTCTGCTTTTCAAAATAATCCATAATTCAGACTTTCCATTAATTCAAGCTTGTGTCTCAGCTATCTAAACCACAGTACTTATTGGGCCAGCTATGTTCTGAATTTAATATTTTTGCTTTGTAGTAGCAATCAAATCCTTTCAGATTTGACTCAGTTTCTATATTCATTTTTTGAAATGAGACTTAGGTCTTTTGATGTGTGCATTCAGGCAGAAAAAGAAGAACCATCGAGAGAACAATTTTAGACCATTTTCAAGACAATAGTCTGTAATAAATGTCTACTGTCTCCAGGACCAAATCATGTTTAGGAAGAACAATTAACAAATCTATTTTAGTTTTTGCTGAGAGTCAGAATAGGGAACAAAGGGAAAGCTGTTACACTGGTAATTGTTATAACTCAGAGGAGTTTTTAAATTAAATGAGGATGGGTGTATTATTTGAAATTTCTTTTGCTGTCATATCATGTTTTAGGTTAATATCTGATATTCATTTCAGAATAAATACAAGGAGAATTTTGAGAAAACAAAAGGACAGCCATGTGGCATCACAACTGATACCCCAGAACATCGCAGAATCAAGAAAGTGCAAGATCAACTCAGTGAGGTGGGCCACGCTGGTAAAATAAAAGAGAGACACATTTCACTGAGGATTGAGGTCTCTAAATATGTGTAGAGAGAATTACTGTGAGCGAGTCTAGAAAACTAGAGAAGCATTGGGTTTGTTGCTGGAAATATGAATCAAAGCCAGCGTCTAAAAGCTTGACCTAGCAATTCATATGAAGAGGTACTCTGAGATGGGAGCTCCAACTTGCTTTAGTCCTTTAGTGGTGTTAATGGTGATTGTGTACCATCAAGTCAGTTCCAACTCATATTGACCATATACAGGGTTTCAGAGACTGTGAATCTTAAAGGGAGCAGAAAACCTCATCTTTTCCCTCATGAAGTGGCTGGTGGATTTCAGCTGCTGACCTTGAGGTTAGCAGCCCAATGTATAACTCACTACACCTCCAAGGATCCTTTGGCCCTTCAGTAATAGGTTGAAATGAGGCCAGGAAACCAGACAAGTAGTAAACACAGTAGGCTTTAAGGAGCACAGTGTTGTAGTTAAAATGCAGAAACTTTGTTTTGTGATGCAGCCATACAGTTACTGGGTTAGCACTCATTGTTATGAGATATACACTCCAAGCCCGCCATGGACTTACTGTGTGCATTACTTCTGCAGGTTAAGTATCGAATGGATGGTGATGTTGCTAAAACTATTTGTCATGTAGATGAAAAAGCAAAGGACATTGAACATGCCAAGAAAGTGTCGCAGCAAGTCAGCAAGGTAAGGCTGTACTCATGGTATAGGTAGGTGGGATACTAAATAGCATTCACATAATTTTTGCTTTATCTGAAGAGGATAACATTGGACAGGCTGCTTCCTATTCACCAGTACCCACGAAATCCACAGGGACTGGGAATATTCACACCTACTGTGTCAGGAAGCCCACACAGATGACTAGCGTGCTCTGTAGGAACTGTGATGGACTGCCGAGCCTCAGTCCAGTTCAAGGGGTAGCTACTACTCAGCTCAGGCAACTGCTGCTTTACAGGATGAAGTCCCTGGCTCAATAGTCTTCCTCTTTCTTTGACTTAAAACAACAGAAATGTGTTGTCTCAAGTTCTGGGGAGTAGAAATTCACATTCAGACTTGGCAGGGCCTTGCTTTCTCTGAAGACTATAAGGAAAAATCCTTTCTTGCACCTCTCTGCTTCTTCTGGTAACCCACTTTACTCCAATACCTAATTACATATACAAAAACCCAAATAAGGTCACGTCCAAATAAAGTGAGGGAGGGTGTTAGAACTTTAACAGGTCTTTGGGGAGGATACAATTCAACCCATCAGAAAGGAGCACAGAAAACATGTATCACAAATAAATAAATGCTATATTGATATGGAAGCAGATAATATAGTTTATGTTAGTTGATAATAAATATTATGGAATAAATAGAGCATGAGAAAGGTTATTATATTTTTTAAAAGAAGTTGGGGATCTGGATTTTTATGAGAAATCTCCAAATTTCAAATGGGGTAACTAATTAAAAAAATATATATTTAAGTCAAAAAATATGCCTGCCAGTCAATCTTAGAATAGGTTGCAACTTTTGAAAGCAATCTATAATGAATCAGAATCATGATTTAGTTGAAAAATGGGAATTTTCCAATAAGAACTACTCAGACAGTGAAAGGAGATGCAGATAGGTGTCTTGTGATACAATAGTAACTAATTGTTATCAGGACTGATTGTGAGGGTTGGAAATGTAAAGGTAGACGTTTTGTAGCAAAAGGAGGGAAATGATTGACTTTGCTGTCTAGCAGCAGAGGTCCCGGGGACCATCAAAGGGGGTGGGGGATAGGCTTGCAGGGTGTACTCTTTGGTTGGTTGATGATATATGGAGGGGATTGTAACTATGGCAATGAAACAATAACTATAGGATGTATGTAAAGCTAATGTTCTCCCATGTAAACTATCATATAATTCACAATAAAACATTAAAAAAAAAAAGTTAGGATGGCAAAAAAAAAAACTACTCAGGAAAAGCATTAGGAATGTTGACACTGTCTTGGTTTTCTTAGTAACTAACACATTCTGCAGTTTTTGTGTAAGAATACTTTTGAGTATGAAAAAGATTCTTCACAGGGTTCGCCTTTGTTCTCTAAATCATCTTGTCCTGGGGTGAGACGTTCGATGACAGGTCCTCTGATTTTCCTGTTTAGGTTTTATATAAGCAGAACTGGGAGGACACCAAGGATAAGTACCTGCTTCCTCCTGATGCCCCTGAACTTGTCCAGGCCCTTAAGAACACAGCCATGTTCAGTAAGGTAAGGCCTCCATTGGCATGTCTGTCTTCCGATTTCATCCCTCTACATAATTTAGAGGAATACCCTGTAAACTCTTGATAATCCTGACTATGGCTTCCCAGTCTTTTTGTGGGTAACCTGAAGACATGTGGGGCTCTGAGAATGGGTTTTGGAAAGGAGAGGACTGAGTGGAGTAGAGGACTGAGTGGAGTAGAGGGTCCTGTAGAGAACCCAAGCAGCCTAGGGGAAAATATGTGGGGAGAATGAATATGTGCTGGAGAATCAGCCAAGAGCCACAAAGCAATATTTTGATTTTTTCTGTAGATCCTGTGCAAAAGTATATATAACTTTTTAAAACAATCATTTTTTAAAACTATGACAAATATGTAGGTAACGGAATATTTATGATTTCAACACTCCACATGTACACTTCTGGAGCATTAATGATGTTCATTCTGTTCTCCATTCATCACCATGTATTGTTTTCAAATTTTCATCACCACCCTTAACAAAAGCCCATTGTCTCCTGCCTGGATTAAACCTTATTATAGGTTTATTTTATGATTGAAATTATACTAAATTCTACCCATCTCCTTACATTGGTATATTTGCACTTGCAGAAGGCAGAGGAAGTCATAGAGAGGAGATGAAAAAAAATCAGACACATCTACCTCTCTATAAATGATGATTGCCAGGAGAAACAGGTTAAGCTATTAACAAAAATGTCTTCAATTGGATAAAAAGATGGAAGTTGGATATGAATTTCATTTAATCTTTGTTTTCACTTTGCCCTTGATTCATGATGTTATTAAGGAATTCAAAATTGTACTCACATCAGTTCTCATTCTTTTCTGATTTAGAAATTGTATACTGAAGACTGGGAAGCAGACAAAGGTTTGTTTTACCCGTATAACGATAGTCCGGAACTGAGGAGGGTTGCCCAAGCCCAGAAAGCACTCAGTGATGTAAGTGGAGAGCAGTCAGCACCATTTGGGAGTGTGGAATCAGGAAGCAGAATTATGTTGTAGATACTCCTTGCAATTTTCCTTTGAAGAAAGATTAAATGCCGTTATTGCAGGGAAATGCATTTAGAATCATGAGCATTTAGGATGTATAATTGAAATTAGATGTAACTTACATTATATATAGTTTAGTTCAAGCCAAGTCAAAGACCATAAAGGTAGTTAGCGGAAGAGCCCAGACTAGGAAGTCTTGTGATCCCAAAACCAATGTTTTTTCCACTAGTACATGCATTATTTACTCCTTGACATGAGTAGAAGTTACTCTGTAACAGTTGAGCAGTGTTTTGTTTTTTGGCTTATTGAGGACATAGCCAACATCCCAAATCTTTTATTAAATGAACAATTGTCATTAAAATGTTTTAATTTGCTGTAGTAGTGAGAGGATCTGAATTGTGGCAAGTCTTCCTTTTTTCTACAATGGGGTTCAGAAGATGTCCTTGTCCAAGTAGATTTATATAGTTACCCCACAAAAAAACTCTTGCCAGAATCTCCATATCCTAGATTTTGAAAATTACATAGATATATACTTTTATTGCAAATATTAAAAATATATATAGGAACTTAAAAGGCCTAATAGACTCAGGAAGGAAATCCACCACATCAGCAGGCCCCACTTGGGCCTAACTCTTCTTGTTTTGAGGTACTTTGTTTCCTAGTCTGCATTTGCTAGAGGCCAGGGTGAAAAGTCCAACGACCACAACTTTAGAGTGGAGCAATAGAAGGAGAAAAATGACAAGCTATTTTTTATCCACATGTTAACTAGGCCTCAGGAACTCTCATACTCTGGACATATCAGGCCATATTGGGGTTTGCTTCCAATGGATCCTGAGATCCTAGCTTGCCCTGAGCTGCAATGACTCACATTCATCTGATGGTGTCACTAATTTTTTAAGACTAGTGTGAATCCTTCTTACTTGGTATGATGTGCAAATGAAGCAGTCATATTTTCTATTCCAGTTTCTATATAATTGGTTAAAATATTGCACAAATATACTCCTTTCCTTCCATAGGGTAAGTTAGAAAATTAAGATGGCATAACAAAGTTCTAGTTATTTTGTGTGTGGCAAAGTTTTTAGTGTGTGGGTGCCTCTAATTCTTTTTCAAGATTAGTATTTTTGTTTTATATTGTAAGATATATCATATTGTTGTGCAGCCTTCTCAAGTGACCAGTAGCTGGCTATTCATAGCTTATCATATATGCATACTTAGCAAGATACAAAAAAGACTGTAAGAAGTTTTGATTTTTTTTCCTCCTGAGAATTTATAATCAGGTTGTTAAGAAGTAAGTGTTATATATCAAACAAACAAACAAACAAAAACCCACGACAATCAAATACTTGCCGGAAAATTAGTGGAATAAATGTGAATAATTGGAAAATCCCACACAGATGTGGTGATCGTAGGGGGATGGATAGTGATGAGGAGGAAAGGCATTTCAAGCAGAGAGAACACTTAAACGGATTGCTGTTGTTTGTTGTTAAGTGCTGTTGAGTAGGTTCTGACTCATAGCGACCCTGTGTGGGGGCTCCAAGGAGCAGTTGGTAGGTTTGAATGGCTGACCTCATGGTTAGCAGTCCGGTGCTTATCTTACATGCCACACCAGGTGTTTTAGAGGACAGAGAACATGACAGCTGCAGTAGCTGGTTGGAGAGCGTTGAGCATGTGTAAGAAAGCAACAGGGGCTTGCAAATCAGACAGAACAGCATGACTTTTGGTGATATGATATGATATATCATATGATATAAAAAGAATAAAAAAGAAATAGGATAAAATAAGAATCTGGAAATATTTTGATGGACAGTACAGTAAATTGGAATTAGGAAAAGATGGAAATCAGTGGATTTGCAGAATGCTATTTTAGTAGTACAGATTGGATGAAAGGATGATAGGAAAAGGAAAGGAAAGAAAAGACTCTGAAAGTAGAAAGAAATTCAAAAGAACTAGAGACATTGGATATTGGCAACAAAGGAGAGAAAGGAGACAGAGATGAATATATGACCATTCCACTGATAAAGATGTGTCAGTGGAAATGGAAATAGAATTGAAATAATGGAAGAGCCATTCAAATTAAAGCATACAGAACCCTTGTGTGGTGCTGTAGGATAAGCACTGAACTGCTATCCACAAGGCTGAAAGTTCAACCCCAAAAGCCACTCTAGGAAACCCTATCCAGGGTTGCTATGAGTCAAATCCAACTCGATGGCATTTTAAAACAACATGGACAAATTAGGAATGTAGTACAATTGCATAGGTGTGAAGCCAGAACAAGGGATTAATATTTGAGTGTCATCAAAATAAAAGTGATGACTGGAGACATAAAAATACATTAGTAAGACCAAAGAGAGTGTGGCCAAGGGCAGGGTTTTGGAGGACACCCACACTCAGGATATCTGGAAAGGAGTCAACAAAAGAATGAGACAATGTATGGTTTTAGAAGTTGAAGGGGGACAAGGCAATGCCATGTCACGTAAACCTAGGAGAGGTTTGAAGTTGGCACTAGTCTCTAAGTGATTCCCTTTACTTATAAAATAGGGAGGTGACAGATGATCAATTTTGCTCTAGTGTTATAAACTTTGAACAATTAAAGATGGCCAAGGTTTTTGGTTGTTTTTTTTTAAAGTATTTTAGTAGAAGACAGAATGAAGAAGGCTGTGTGTTAGTCCCTGGGCTGCTCGTTTAAACCCACCAGCAACGTGGCAGGAAATAGATGAGGCTGTGTGCTCCCATAAAGATTTACTGTCTAAGAAACCCTATATAGAGGTGCTATGAGTCAGAATTAACTTGATGGCAGTGGATTTATTTTATTTATTTTTTTGTTTTATATAATAATGAAATTAAGTTTTTCTTCATACTTCACCAGTAAGATTTGGCATTTAAAGTATAGCTTTTGTTTTTATTGCCGACAAAATATGCTGTACACATCAGATTACCGACATGCCTATTAACACTGTTGTCAACACTACAATTACTGAGCACAGAACCCCAAGCAAGCTGTTGTTCATAGAACGTAGCATCAGATAGACACATAGTCTTCAAGCTAAGTGCTGGATTAGAGGCTCCCTCTCCTGATCCTCTTAAACCTACTTACCACATTATCTTTATTCTCTAAGCAATGACAAAATATGTTGTAAACATGAAGAGTCTTTGAGCTGAACCAGAGTGCAGATTTCTAACGCAACAGAACTCAGAACAAGGTTCCTGAGAAATTAGTTAGGTCTTGTAAAATCTCATTTCTCTGAAACGTCTTGAAAAGTTGTCAGACTTAATAATCAGCCTTTTTCCTGATAGAATGCTGTTTTTTCCCTAAGGACAGAGACAGCCATGAAAAATCCCAGTTGCTATATCCTTAAAGTCTTTGCAAAGAGAAATTTGTGTTTCTCACAGCTGAGTAGTGGAAGAGTTTGGAGAATCATTCTATTCTTCAAGCTTCTCCTGAAGGTTTCAGTGTGCAAAACACACATTTAGAAGTCAGGGATTGAACCCCCACTCCAGTCAGGTACTGTGCTGGCCTCAGAGATTTCAAATGAGAAGACAAACTTTCTGCCACCCCAAAGTGTGTGCACTTTGGAGGGACAAATGAGACACACTTTGGTGTGTCTCAAGGAAGGACAGACTTGTAAACCACCATTACAGTGCTATCTGATAACTCTTCAAAGAAGCTAAGGAACAGGAAAAAAGGAGATCCCAGGAAAAATCATCAAGTCTGCCTCAAGGAGTCAGGGAGGGCTCTGCAGGGAAAGTATTGAGATGTGGAGAACATGTGGCAATTTGCAGGCAGAAGGGGAGAGGAGGAGTTGGGGCATTCTAGGGAAAGGTAAACATGTTTGAGGGCCAAAGGCATGAGTCTGGGAATCTATCTATAACTCTGCATTATTGAAGGCAGGGATCCAACAATTGGTGGAAATAAAATCAGAGGAGTCAATAGGATTAGGGCTAGGTTTAGATATAAGGTTAGAGTCAGGCTTAGGTTTTTTAAATTAGAGTTAGAGTTAGGTATAGGGCTCTGGTAGCGTAGTGGTTATGAATCGGGCTGCGAACCTTAAGGTCAGCAGTTCAAAAGTACCAGCTGTTCCACAGGAGTAAGATAAGGTTTTGTGTTCCTGTAAAGATTTACAGCCTCGGAAACCCTGAACAGGGTTTGTATGGGTCGAAATCGACTTGACAGCATTTAACAACAACAACAACATAGGGCCATAAGCAGGGTTAGTAGTAAGGTAAGGTTTTGGTTAGGGTTAGGTCTACCTCTAGGGCTAAGTTAAAGACTTGAGTATAGAAACCCTGTATAGGTTTCAGAGGAACCGTTGGTGAATTTAAACCGCCAACATTGCAGTTGAAACCCACCTTGTGGTCCAGTGCATTAGCCCACAGCACCATACCAGAACTAGAGTTGTTGTTAAGTGCTGTCAAGTCAGTTCTGACTCATAGTGACCATGTATAGGCTTTCTAAGGAGCAGCTGATGAATTTGAACCTCCAACCTTGGAGTTCAAATTGACCTTGCAGTCCAGTGCATTATCCCACTGCACCACACCAGGACTAGGTTAGGCCGTGATATTATTTCAAGGTGGGAGAGATTTTTTATAGGCTGAAGGAAAAGAGAGGAGCACCGTATTTCACTAATTGGAATATCATGGACCTAAAATTTGTTAGAATTTTGCCCAGACTAAACAGAAGTTAACTTTTGGACTGTCCATAAAAAATGGATGCTTCTCCTCTGAGAAAGGAAGGGTGCAGGAATGGGAGAGTCACGGATGAGCCTGGAAACAGGGAAGCAAAGAGAGCCTTTCTTTATAGAAGAGGAAGTTGAGAGTAATGTGGAGTTGATTGGTATTGAGGACAGTTTTGAGGGTTTTGGACTAGCCACTGGGAGTTTGTGTTGACCAGAGACTCCTAATGGACTTTACAAGCTTCACTAAAGGCAGAGTGCAAATTGGATACCATAAATCCACAGTTATTCAATCTAAAGATTCATATAGCTTTCTCTAGTAGCACTCACCATCTTGGGTATACGACTATGTGGTTGAGATGATCCCGAGTGGAGGGCTTAAGTGGGTGTGATGAAAACACAAGTGGTTGGAAGTTATATATCCTGGTGAGAGAATAATAAACAGCTACCACCATGGCATGAAGACCACAATGGAAGAAAACAGACTTGGGATCAATAGTCATGGGGCAGAGGGAAGATTTAAAGAAATTGAAATCACTAGCAATATTGAGAGTGAGTGCAAGTAATATCTAAAAGTATCATCAATTGTAGTTCAACAGTCTTTTAACATTCAAGATTTCAAATAAAGGTGAAAGGATGGTCTTTTTTAAAATGCCTACACATAGTACATGGGAAATAGAATGGTTTTCGATGTCTCATCAACATCCTTGTCTTTTATTTTATTAGGTTGCCTACAAAAAAGGTCTTGTTGAGCAGCAAACTCAGTTCACATCTCTGCCAGATCCTCCAGATATAGAGTTTGCCAAGAAAGTGACCAATCAAGTGAGCAAGGTAAGTTAAAAAAAAAGTGCTAGGTTACTGTCTCTTGGAAACTCTGCTTCATAATTTCAGCGAGCAGAGAAAGTAAATAAAGATGAACCTAAAGACAGAACATAAAATGCTAGAAGTAATTCATAACCACTGTTGTTAAGTGCCATTGGGTTGGGTCCCATTCATAGAGTCACTGTGTAGGGGTTCCAAGAAATAGCTGGTGGGTTTGAAACACTGATCTTGCAGTTTACTGTCCAGTGCTTATCCTACAACGCCACTGCTGTATTAATTAATTAATAAATGTTTAGCCAGCTTGCCGACGCAGTGGTTAATAAATGTAAATTTGTCCTAATGTCACTTGATGTTTCTATTTGTTAGAGTAATACAAACTAACTTAGAAACCAAGTAACCACACATGTCCAGGGAGAATCTGATGGTATTAACTCAGTATGAAGCATCCATAGAGTTTAATGCTCTCAGTCAGATTTGGAAATGAATGCATGAGTGGGCTCTCAAAACACAGCTTAGTTAACAGCAGGGGACATTTCGCCTCATAACGTGGAAAGCCTGGCAAACAGCTTAGTATGCCTATATTTAGGCTGGTAAACTAGCCCTGAGGATGTGGGCCTAACAGAGAATGCAGAGAGATAGATGTTTAACAGATGAGCAGGCCAGACTAAATTCCTATTTTAAATTGGTCCAAATCAGGCCACTTTCTCCTGGGACACGTTGATTATAAGTGTTTTCTTTGCCCGTTATGGAACTGAGTCTCATTTTGGTTGAATTTTGATGGAACCTCAAGATTTCAGTCTTGTTTAAGCATTTTCTTCCTAAAGTATTTCCCAAGTAAAAGAGAAAGAAAAAAAGTCGTGAATAATAAAGTTTAGTAAGCAAGTTTAAAAAAAAGATCTGATATTCAGGATTACCCTAACTGTATAACCAGAGGGCTGGCTGTTTGGAGAAAGGATCTAGTTAGTGCTGAATCTAGTCCTGCTAGGAATGGCAAACCCAACCCAAACCCATTGCCGCTGAGTCAATTCCGATGCACGGCAACTTCCATGTGTTACAGAGTAGAACTGAGTTCCTAGGGTTTTCATGACTGCAATCTTTATGGAAGCAGATTACGGTTGTTCTTAAGTGCCATAGAGTTGGTCCGACTCATAGCGACCCTCGTATAGAGTTTCTTAGGAGCAGCTGGTGAGTTTGTATCACCCGCCTTGCAATTCAAACAACATTGTGGTCCAGTGCTTCTCCTACAGCACCACATTAGGAAGCCAAATATGTCATTAGTTATTTTTATGTTGATTGCATGTTGAAATATTTTAAATCTATTGGGGTAAGTGAAATATATTATTAAAATTAATTCTTTTTCTTTTTACTTTTTAAAATATGTTGTTGTCGTTAACTGCCATAGAGTCAGTTCCAACTCAGAACAACCGTATATAGTGTTCCCAAGGAACAACTGGTGGGTTTGAACTGCCGACCTTGCAGCTAGCCATCCTGTGCTTATCCTACAGTGCCACACCAGACACAATAAATTGTCTCTCTTAGTTCTCTAGTGCTGGTGTAACAGAAATACCACAAATGGGTAGCTTTAAAGATTATAAATGTATTTTTTATGGTTTAGGAGAATAGAAGTCTGAATTCACTGATGATAGGAGAAGGCTTTCAGTCCACCCTGGGTGAAGATCCTTGTGTTAGCGTCTATAGCTGATGTTTCTCAGATCTTTGGTGATCTTTATGTAGCATCTCTTTCCATTTATTCTTCCTATCTCTGTGTGTGCTACTTCATATGACTAAGAAATGATTAGGTTTAGGGCTTACCATAAACTGATATTGACAGAACAAACAGAATTCTGTGCACACATATAGGGTTTAGGATTCCAACACATATTTTGGGGGGCTACAGTTTTTCCAACAAAAAGCCTCGGGACTATAAGGGTTGACTTATCTGTGGGACTCTTTTTTTCCCTTGAAAGTCTTCCCCACTATCAAGCTTTTTTGACCCTTGTTTTAAGTATTATCGTTAACTCTTTCTTTTCAAAATAGGTAGAAACTTCTTTATCTACTTACTCTCATGCATTTAAATTCTTAGCATTTCCTTATCAAATTATGTTTCCCAGATCTATCCCTTGCTCTTACAGCCATCAGTTCAAATGATAATAATTACTGCTCTGCAATGATTATATTACTCTTACATTCTGTTTACCAACCTTCTTTATTCTGTCAGAATTAATTCTCTCACTTCTGTCTTTGACAAAGCCATCAGCTTCCTGCCAGCACTTCCTCCTGACTCAGCTACATTTTGTAACCATTGCAGTTGTTGATGTTAAGTGCCATGGAGTCATTTCTGACTCATAGCGCCCTTGTATGGGGTTGCCTAGGTGTGGCTGATAAGTATGAACTTCCAACCTTGCGGTTCAAACATACCTTGAGATCAAGTGCTTATCCTATGGTGCCACCCCAGTACTCCTTCATAACTCTAGCATAGATCAATATCTGGTAAGTTCAAGGTAAGGAAACTGAACACTTCCAGGTGATTCTGAGTACAACACTGGGAATTTCCTTTAGTTTCTCTGTGCCTGCCTCTTCGTTCTCTTTCAGGTTCACAGGTAGAAAAAAAAAATGTATGTATGATTTCAGCTTGGAATTCCCAATTTGTATACATCTGCAATCTAGAATGTAAAAAAAGCAAAACAAAACAAAAAAAAACAACACTTCAATGACAGCTTGTTACACAGCACGAAGAGACTCCATTCTGACCTTGTGCAACCATGGAAACTCTTCTATCGTATAGAATTTGGAAAATTCCTATTGATATCACCAATAAGAGATTTGATTGAGTGATGACTGTAGTGCTGGGCCCACTATGTGCAATGAAAATGCCAGTTAGAACACCTTCTACTGCTTTTGGAGATGCTGACTTCCTTATGAATAAAGCCATCAGGAGCTCCAGTGTTTAGCTACTTGCAGAAAAAAAGAAGCATGATTAACTAACTTGCTTTGAAGTTCTTTCCATTTGATAGCCACAGCAAAATCACAGGTGCAGATGTGAAAAGTAAAAAATGAAGCTATATGTCTAAGCAGGACATTGTTGTTGTTAAGTGCCATTGAGCTGGTTTGAACTAATAGCAGCCATGTACAGGGTTTCTAAGGAGTGGCGGGCAAGTTTCAATCACTGACCTTATGATTCAAACTGACCTTGTGATCCAGTGCTTCATCCTACAATGCCACAACAGGGCACTAGCACTCCTAATCTGTGGCCCACTGGAGGAGGGAATATGGTCAGGGAAGCAATCTTACTATATCTAACAACATGTGGTCACTTTCTTGCCCAGAGAAGATGTCCTAGCCCTTGTCATTGGCCCAATATGACTTTCTCTGCTAAACAAACAAGCATAAATTCCTAAAAAAAGTTAAATTCATTCTTAGATCCAGTTTCCTACTGATAGACTCCAAGTGTAGCATAGTTGAAGAATCAGGTGGTGTTGGATCCTGGTAAGGTTAATTGATCTCCATGTACTGCACAAAAGCTTCCCAGTCACTCAGAGTGACTTCTTGACCAGCAGAGAGGATCACCGCTGGATACATTCTTCTCATTCCCTCTTATTTTATCTTGTGGGTCCTCTTCCTTTCAACTGCTCTCCTACTTGCAAAGGAAGGTGGTATCCGGAAGTTCCTTAGTAGATAACACGTGCCAGCCTCCTAATATGCAGTGAAAATCTTCCCAGATTTGGGAGTACTCAGGAGTGGGTTGTAAGATGGCCACCCCTACGTTGTGACTGTTGGGCACAATAAAATACCAAGTCTTTGTTCATGGGAGTTAAGAAGGGAGGAAGAACTTTGAATGATAGGGCTGGGTGGTTTTGTACTCTTCTTTTGCTTCTTGCTTTATTATCTTTAAAACTCATACATCTATCTCTCACTGTGAGAATCTCTTGCTCAGTTTTCCTTAACACACACAAATGTGCGATTCCTATTTCCTTATAATAGCTTAACTTTGGGGCCTCATTCAACCCTTTCAACTTTAGCTATATTATAAAGCTGTCTATATTTCAGTTTTGGAATGTGTCAGGCTCAAGTGTCTTTTCTTAATTTAAGAGTTTTCCTTCTTTGATTATAGAATGCAAGGGGAAGGATAGTGTCCCAACATATTCATTCTATTTATAAACAAATATACCAACATATTATAGACTAAGGACTCTTGACCTATGGCTCATGCATATCAAGATCCTCTGAAGTTGTGCTAATGCCATTTTATACCTTTATCAGATTTTAAGGGGTCTTAGCCTGGTGTAGGAGTCCTGGTATGGTGCTGTAGGATAAGCAGTGGATCGCAAGGTTATTTGAACCATAAGGTTGGTGGTTCAAACTCACCACCCATTCCTTGGAAACCTTATACAGGGTTGCTATGAGTCAAAACTGACTCAATGACACTTAACAACAACAATTGTGGTATAATGCTGTATGATAAGCATTGGATTGCTAACCACAAGCTTGTCCATTCAAACCCACTAGCTGCTCCTTGGAAACCCTATATAGGTCACTCGGAGTCAAAACTGATTAGACAGCACTTAATAAAAACAGCATCCTGGCATGGAACCCTGGTGTGGTACTGTAGGTTAAGTACTGGACTGCTAACCACAAGGTCAGTGGTTCAAACCCACCAGTCACTCCTTGGAAATCCTATACAAGATAGATATGAGTCAGAACTGACTTGATGGCACTTAACAGCAACAATTACAACAAGAAACCCTAGTGGAACAAAGGTGGAGCACTCAACTGTTAACCAAAAAGTTGATGGTTTGAACCCAAACAGCAGTTCCACAGGAAAAACATCTGGCAGTCTATTTTCATAAAGACAAGAGCCTAGGCAATTCTGTTCTGTCATGTGGTATTGCTGTGAGTCAGAACCGGCTTGAGGACACTCAACAGTAACATTGTCCTAAAAAGATTAGAAGCACTTATATGGGCAGTCTTGTTGCTGTTGTTAAGTGTCATCAAGTCGGTTCCAACCCATAGCAACCCTGTGTAGGGTTTCTGAGGAGTGGCTAGTGAACTTGAACCTCTCTCCTACTTGCAAAGGAAGGTGGTATCCTAAAGTTTCTCAGCAGATAACAAGTGCCAGCCTTGCAGTTCAAACTAACCTTACAGTCCAGCACATCAGCCCACAGCACCACACCAGGACTCCGCAGGAAGTCTTAGTAAATCCCAAAATCAATTTCAATCACATGAGTTTTTTTCAAGCTTCAAAAGAAATAACCAACTGATTGGCAATGTAATGCAAACCTTATGTCAATAAAATTTCAAATGAAGAACTGTTTCACACTCACACACACAAACATGCACACCATTTTCTTTTTTGAAGAATTTCTTTCTCTCTGGTATGGTGATAATTGTAATAATAATAACTACTATATTTATTACAATTGTATCCTTCATTTGTTTAGTATTTTAGTTATCACAAAGGATGCTTCAGTGTAGGACGATTTCTTCTTCTCAACAGTGCTCTCACCAAGTATTATTACCAGAACTTGTAATTGAGAAAGCTGAGGCTTAGAGAGGCAAAGTCACATCTTTGCTAATGATGGAGTCATCACTTGGATCTCTAGAACATATTTGATGCATTGAACACTAAAGACCAAGGGTCAGATGAGTTGTGGGATGACGTTAAGAAAATCATGCATGAAGAAAGCAAATGGTAGTTAAAAAGAGAGGAAAGAAAGAAAAGACCAAAGTGGATGCCAGAAGATATTTGTCTTGAATGTAAAGAAGCTAAAGTAACTGGAAGAAATGAGGAAGTAAGAGCTGAACAGAAAATTCCAAAAGTCAACTTGAGAAGATATAAAATCAAGTATTATAATGAAATAGACTTAGAAAACCCAAAGGGAAGAACAGGCTCAACATTTCTCAAGCTAAAAGAACTGAAGAAAAAATTCAAGCTTTGGGTTGTAATACTGAAGGATGCAGAAAGCATCAAAAGGAGATGGAAGGAATACACAGAGTCACTGTACAAAAATCAAATGGTTGATGTTCAGCCATTTTAAGAGATACCATATGATCAAGAACTGACTGTTGGTACTGAAGGAAGAAGTCCAAACAGCACTGAAGGCACTGGTGAAAAGAACAAGAAGTTAACAGAATACAAATTGAAATATTTCAAAAAATTGATAAGGCTCTCACTCATCTAAACTGTTAAGATAGTTGGAAGACAGCTACCTGGAAAACAGATGGGAAGAGATTCATATTTTTGCCCATTCCAAAGAGAGATCACACAATGGAATGAGGAAATCATCAAACAATATCTTGACTATCACATGCAAGTAAAATTTTGCTAAAGATAATTTTTAAATGCTGCAACAGGACATCGACAAGGAGCTGCTAGAATTTCAAGCCAGATACAGAAGAGGATGTGGAATGAGGGATATCGTTACTGACATTAGATAGACTTAGGCTGAAAGCAGAGAATATCAGAAAGATGTTTACTTGTGATTTATTGACTATACAAAGACTGCCCCCCCTCCCCAAATACTGCTAAGATCAACAGCAGAAGAGTTCAGCTTTTTATTGAGCATGTTACAAAAGGGATTTAGTCAAAAAGACCAAAGCCCATGTCATCATCGGATTCTTCAGACTCTTCTTTCTTTGCTTCCACTTTCTTCTCCTCAGCTGGGGCAGCAGGGGTGGTGGGGGCAGGTCCGCCTGCAGGGGCAGCACCGGCTGCTGGTGCAGGTCCACCAGCCCCGACGTTGCACATGAGGCTCTCGATGTTGACGTTGGCCACAGTCTTCGCGAACAGGCCTGGCCAGAAAGGCTCCACGTTGACGCCGGCAGCCTTGATGTGATCTTGTCCTCCATGACGGTCACCTCATCGTTGTGCAGAAAGAGGGCCAAGTAGATGCAAGCGAGCTAGGAGAGCTCGGAGACGGAGGCCATGGTGCGGCAGTGCTAGGCTGGAGGCTTCCGGGAGAGGTGCTAGTCGCAGGAATGGCACTTAGCAACAAGCAACAAATTAAGGACTTACTTGGAGTCCTGGTGTGGTGCTGTAGATAAGCACTTGACTGCTAACTGAAAAGCCAGAAGTTCAAACCTACTAGCTGCTTCTTTGGGAACCCTAAACAGTGTTGCTGTGAGTCAGGACGAAGTAGACAGCACTTAACAAGAACAAAATTTAGGATTTAGGGATTTGAGGCTGTCCAGTAGGTTAAGCATTGCACTGCTAACCTGGAGGTTGGCATGTCAAACTCTCCAGCCACTCTGAAGGAGAAGGAAGAGACTACTGTCTGCTCCAATAGGATTTACTGTTTTGGAAACTACTCTGTCCTAGAGGGTGGCTGTGAGTCAGAATTGACCCAATGGTAGTGTGTTCATTGTTTATTAAGGGTTTTTTAGAAGACACTCTTGTGGTGCAATGGTTAAGCACTCAACTGGTTGGCGGTTCAAACCCAATCAGTGGCTTTGTGAGAAAAGGATCTGGTGATCTGCTCCCATAAAGACAACCCTATGGAGAAATTCAACTTTATAACATGGGGTCACTATGAACTAAAACCCGACTTGATGGCACCTAACAACAACAACAACATTAAGGACTTAAGAAAAATCCAGTAAAGGTATTTTTAAAAGTTAACCATTACCACTTATTTGACTGATTCAAGTACTGAATTTTGCTTGTGTTCTTTTCCCTAGCAAAAATACAAGGAAGACTATGAAAATAAAGTCAAAGGCAAATGGAGTGAAACGCCTTGCTTTGAAATTGCAACTGCCAGAATGAATGCTGACAACATCAGTTCAGTAAGTAGGAAGAGATGGCTGCATGTCCTGGGGTGGCCCTTTCCTCCTACAGCTTCTAGTCCCTGCTGTACCCCCAAAGTGGTGACAGAATATTTGAGACCAGGCCCCGATTCTTGAAGACAAACTAAAACCTCCCAGATTAAAAAAAAAAAAAAACCTTATGCAACCTGCTAACGAGTTCTTATTACGAAAGAACTTCCACAATCTCATCTTCATTTTGAGAAATATTATTTTAACCAAATTCCATTATTTCTGCTTCCATTTTCACAGAAAACTGGTAAGTACAGTTAGTGTAGGCTTCAAAGTTAGTCTAGGATAACAGGGCCCTTTTAAATTTATTCCTTGTCTGGAAAACCAAAAGTATACATTTATGAAACTGATTAATTTAGTTCCTTCCTAAGCTCTTGTCACTAGAAAGAATAAGTCTAGTTTGTTTTCTCTTGGGTTCTCTACTCCTGGTCTTCAAGGACTCTTTCTTGTTATTTGTCTTTCAGGCAATTCTAATTGGTCCAAATCTCTGTTAAGTGGCCAGTTGTTTATGTAATGGTACCATTTTCCTTTATTTGCAATCTGACCTGCCTCAGTCAAGGGGAACATGGCTTTGGACTTCTCTAAATCCCTGCTGTCCTCCCATGTAAAACCCTTATGCAGTTTGTTCCTGCAGTGATTGTCTGGTCTGTTCCATGTCTTACAGAGGAAATATCAGGAAGAGTTTGAGAATCTGAAAGATCAGATCTACTTTATGCAGACCGATACACCAGAGTACAAAGTGAATAAACAAGCTGGGATAACAGCCAGCAAGGTATGGGGACAATTCTCCTGTCTTGGTGGTTTGGGGGTGGGTGAATTTCTTGTAACTCTTGTTCTTGTGCATCATGACAAATAACGGAAGCTTTGAGAGAGTTGTCAGAGTTGGCAGCTGTGGCTCCTAGGCATTTGGGTTTCACAGAAGAGTAGAACTAAAAAGAAAGTACTTTGGGAGTACAATGTTATTATTAAGTCCTGTCCACTTGGTTCCAACTCATAACAACCCTCTATAGGGTTTCCGAGGTGCGACTGGTGAGTTTGAACTGCTGATAATGCAATTTAACCTGACCTTGTGTTCTAGTACTTACCCTACAGTTCCACACCAGGACTCTAGGGACTATAATAGGGCTACCTTTTCTTTTTCTCTTTCTTTTTTATGTAATAGGGCTGCCTTTTTCTTTCCTTCTTTCTTTCTTTTTTTTTTTTGCTATGCATGGGTGCTAACGTCTTACTTAGTGTCTCTAGTATCTTAAAAAATTTCTTTGAAACCCAGAAGTAGAAAGGCTATAATCTCAGGACCTCTCTTTCCCCATCAAAAAAGGAAAATTGGGAGCTATATATGAATATAAACTTTCCCAGTTTCAACATTATCATTATTTTTCTTATTTCCCCAATGATCAGTGAAAATCTCCTCATAGTCAAGACGCACAGATTCATGGACTGGTCTTGGGAAACTTCTGGTTTGGAACATATCCTTATATGCTCTAAAAACTGAATTCAATAAAAAGTCTGAATGTTTGGCATCCTAGACCAGATCGTCACCAGAAAGAGCATAGAGTTCAAAGCTAACCGAAGTTGGATCTAATCCCAGCTTTGATTGAGTTAGAGGAACAAAAAGAGCAAGCTCACCTAAAAGGCTAATAGAGTATCCAAGTGCCAGACATTGCTTCTTGGGTCAGGAGGGTCACTGAGCTGGTAGAGAGAAGTATTTTTAAAGTAGAGCCAATATAACTCATTCATGGATTGAATGTAGAATATGAGAGGAAGGTTTTAGTGTGAATCACTTTGGCTGGGTTTTGCTTCATTGAGAAAGGGAAGACTATGGTAAGAGTAGGTGTATGTTTTAGAAGGATATAGGATCTCAGTTGCAGACATGTTCACTTTGAGATACCTTTAGATATCCAATGGAAATGTCAAGTTGATTATGTAAGTCTGAAATTTTTCAAGGAAGACTATGAAGGCTATGTAAATTTTGGAGTCACCAGCATATAGATGGTACTCAATGTCATGAGATAGGAGATTGTCAAGGAAGTGAGTGTAGATAGAAAATGCCAGCTGCTGGACCCTGGTGTATTACCATATGAATGTATCATGTAGGAGCAAATGAGAAGAGAGTCATATCTCGGGTGGCAAGTGAAAAGAGAAGTCTCTGATCAACTTGACCAATTGGTTGAATCCTGATGTCTAAAGTCTGAGAGGAGAGGATTCAAAAGGGAAAGAGAAGAGAACAATTGAAGGCTGCAAGTGTATCCAACGCCTTTAAGGTTTCTGTAAAGACAAGAAGAAAATGGGGCAGTAACTGATGGATAAATATGCAAAGGGGGATTTTTTTTTAAAGATAAGAAACAAAAATACCATTCTTTTATGATGATGGGAAAAGTCTACTACTCAGAGAACTGATGCTGTAGGGTAAAGGAGGAATGACTGAATTAACGTAATGGTCTTGAAGAGGAGGGGTTGGTTTGCCTTGAGAGTTCCATCCTTACAATGTAGGTCAAGGAATAGTCAGGTTTGTGTAATTCCTTTTCAAGTTATGTCTTTTTTTTTTTTTTAAAGAAATATGTGATTCTATATGGAGTCCTAGTGTGGTGCCGTAGGATAAGCACTTGACCTCAAGGTTGGTTTGAATTGCAAGGTCGGCAGTTCAAACTCACCAACCACCTCTCGGAAACCCTCTACAGGATCACTATGAGTCAGAGCCAACTTGATGGCACTTAACAATAACAGCAACATAAGGTAGAAAGGGGATCTACTTCTTTCATTTCTGTAGATTGTCTTCTGAATGCTTAGTGTTGACTTTAGTAGTGGCACATCTCTGCATCAGTTTTGTTATCTCCTGTCTGTGAATATGAAGCATCAGCTTTGTATCCTGAGATTCTTAAATGTTGGTAAATGACCTAGGATTATTGGACTTGTCTATATTCTCGGGCTATATTGCCTAAATAAATGACTTACATTGGAGATGATGGTCAGAATCAATGTCCGTTTCTTGTTCTATTCATTGTGGATATCCTCTAGACAGAAGCTTTGGTGCTTCTAAGGATCACTGGTGCTGGTCTCTGTAGGATAAACACTGGACTGCTAATCACATGGTTGACTGTTCAAACCCACTAAATGCTTGATACAAGAAAGATGAGGCTGTCAACTTCCATAAATATTTATAGTCTTAGAAACCCTAAGGAACAGTTCTACTCTATCCTATAGGGTCACCATGGGTCAGAATAGACTCAATGGCAGTGAGTTTAGATTTGTTGTTGTTGTTGTTACTGCTTGTGCCATAGCTTGAATTAAAGATGGGAGAGGCAGATGGAAAAGGCGCCACCACATATCCCGTCTCCAGATCTTTCCTCCTCCTCCAGCCTGCACATTAAATATGCATGTACTTACACACACACACAGCCGCAGGAGAGGCATAAAGAGGTAGATTGGTCATGCTTCTAGCTTCATTTCTTAAAAAAATGTCTTCCCAGACAGGCAGCTGGAAGTTAGGAGCAAGGTACGGATTCTGTAGTAGCGGCATTTGGGACATGGTGTGTTGTCATTATATGTGTAGCTCTCACTCAGTCTTTATTAATCTCTCTCTACATGAGGGCAGGGACCATGTGTTATTCTTTCTTGCATGTGTCCCAAAGCTAGGAACATAACTGACATCTTATGGGTATTTTCTGATGAATGGAAAGAAAAGGTATCTTGGAAATGTATGCCGTTTCTTTGTTGCTATTATGAGTTACTATAAAAGTATTTTGTTTATGAAATGTCACGTTACCATTTTACTAAAGAGAAAATTGATTTGTGTAACTATGTCATAACATCTACAATAGAGATGAAGGCAAAGACAACCCGGAGAATCGCTTTATCACTTTATTTCACTCCTACAGGTAAAATACAAAGAAGACTATGAAAAGAATAAAGGGAAAGCAGATTACAATGTACTTCCTGCTACAGAACAGCCGCTGTTCAAGCAGTTGAAGGCAGCAGGAAATGCCCTAAGTGATGTAAGTATATTTTTGTCAAAAAGTGTTTACTAACCACAGTGGCAAGAGAGATGAAAATTTTCTCCTTCTATAACGATAAAACACATACATAACTTTACAAATTCCATACGTAGAAATTAAGGTTATGGGATGATCTAACCACAAGAAAGTGTTAGTGTTTCTGGGTATGATGTGTCTTAACTTTCTTAGGCCTGTGGTGTTAGTTCAAGGAAGAAGGAAAGCCTTGTTTTCCTATTGGCTCCCAGTGCCTAGTTTCTGATTGCAAGGCAAGGTGAGAGAAAGCAAGGCTACTCCTGATTCCTGCCTTGTGTTCTCAAGGCCTGCTGCCAAGAGAAGAGGGTCAACGTCCTGGGCTTCACAACTTCTGTCCCTACTGCTGCATTTTCTATTCATAGCTTGGCTCCAGATCTCATCATTTCTAGAAAACAGAGCTTCAAAGTCTTCCCAGAAATTTCTACTTATTGAATTGTTAAGAAACTTTATTTAAGCAATGAGATTTGAAATACATTAGATAAATGAGAATTTGGTGTAGTATGGAAAACTAATAGTCCAAGACAATTTTATAGCAACCGATCACATATTTAATATTGGAAAATATTAGAATCTGGGAAATATTGGGAAAGTGTAATACTAACCTAGACATAAGGGTAAAACTCAACTGACCACATATTGAGTCTCTTTAAGTGGTAATTTTTAGGAGATCTAATATGTGATCACATGAGTTTCTCCCTAGAGTTAGGTTAGTATTATACTTTCTCAATATTTGGGGATTGTATGTTGCTCTCTGTGGGGTTAGTTTTCTTTTCCTTGTCCCTTGAATTAAGTCAGCAACCTGGAAATATGTGCTTGTGATGAAGGAGTGGGTTAGGATAAGAAGTGGGAGGATGTAAATGAAACCTGTCTAGTGAGCTCTGAAGGGAAACCAATGTAAGACACGGCACCTACTTCCTAACTGAAGGGAATCTTTATCAACATATAAAAACCCACGTTCAAATCCACTTTCTTGTTAAAGACAGGAACGTAAAAGACATTAAAAGTAGTAGCACTGTTTATATTTTCAAAAGGCAACATACAAAAGTAACAATGATCTACTTTAGCAGTGTGTATTTAAAACCAATAATTACCATTTTAAATTAGACCAATAAAACAGCCTCAACATAAAGTTCAAGCAATGACAGAACAGGGATTATCAACACAGGAGTAGATTTTGAAATCCCTCTAGATAACTAAGTGACCAAGGGGATGGCCCCCACCAAACACAAGAACACCACAGTTGAGTGAATGAACATGCTCTTTTAAGAATATAGGGAGCCATCAAGAAAACTGACCTCATACAGAAGCATAAAACAGCCTAAAATCTTATTATTTATGTTGATTGATTTAGTGTTGTTAAGTGCCATCGAGTTGGTTCTTACTCATAGTGACCCTGATGTGGCGCTATGGGCTAATGCACTGGACTGCAAAGTTGGTTTGAACCACAAGGTTGGTGATTCAAGCTCACCAGCTGCTCCTTGAAAACCGTATACAGAGTCGCACTTAACAACGACATGGGCTTTCAGAGGCTATACATCTTTGCTGGAGCAGAAAGCCTCATCTTTCTCCCAAGGAGCAGCTGGTGGACTCAAACCACAGACCTTGCAGTTCAAAGTCCATTTTTATCGTACAGAACCACCGTATTCCCAATGTTTATTAATAGAGTTCAAGATAAATCCCAGCAGAGAACTATTAGTTAGATTCATTATTTGAGTTCTTGTGTATTCTTTATTTTTAAGGCTAATTGACTAATAAAGGATTTTTCCTAGAAATGAGGAGGAAGAGAGACTATATCTCAAGCTTTTATGAAGGTTTGTTTACTATAAAAAGTATTTACTATTGCTCAAAACTTTTTGCTTTGCATCCTCATTGAGGGAAGAACACATGAGCTGAAAGTGGAGAAGGCAGCAAATTCAGAACCACACAAAATCCCCACAACTACTGACTTGGTCAGAGACAATAGATTGGTTTAAAAAATTTTTTTGAGAATATTAAAATTTAGACTTTGCAAGCATCGCTAGTGGAAAAAGCTTATGAGTCATGACATCTCATTGTCTGATTGTCAGTTTTTAAGATAGTCCACAGGTGATCTTTTCTTCTTTTCCTTTTGTTTAGTGTTGGAAAATACAAGTGTTATAATCAGTGTGGGAGTGACAGGAATCTACTTTAACTGATTTTTTTTCTCTCTTTGACAGAAATTATACAAGGAAAACTATGAAAAGACAAAGGCAAGGAGCATGAATTACTGTGAGACACCCAAATTTCAGCTGGATACAGTTTTGCATAACTTCAGTAGTGATGTAAGCAACCCTATATTCACTCTTTCTGCTAATGAAAAGATCCATCGTTTTACCAATAATGAACTATGTTTTGTCTTGTAGACTAAATACAGAGATTCTTACTTAAAGAATATTTTGGGACATTATGTAGGCAGCTTTGAGGATCCATATTATACACATTGCATGAAAGTCACCGCTCAAAACAGTGATGTAAGTTCTAAGACAATCACTTGATTTTCCAAATCCGTTTTGGGAGGCTGAGAGGGGGGAGCATAAATATAATAGCTGCATCTTTAAATCTGATTTCTTCTTTCCATAGAAAAATTACAAAGCAGAATATGAAGAGGACAGAGGCAAATGCTTCTTCCCTCAGACCATAACTCAAGAGTATGAAGCAATTAAGAAACTAGATCAGTGCAAAGACGTAAGTCTGTAGCATGGACTTTCATTGTTATTGCCTTACATAACACCTAGTGGCCAAGATGTGTTTAAAATCTTGACACTCTTACAAGTAAGCACAGAAATTGTAAGAAACAGAATCGACTTGGTAGTCGATATGCTGTATTCCTTTGTTTGCATCTATGTGTCTCAAGAGTTAATTCTTGCTCATCTTCCCAAAAGACTTACGGAGAATCTAAAGACATGAGAAAAGTTTATTGTACAGATGCTGAAAAGGGGGCGGGAAGAGGATCTCTCAAAGAAACTGCATTCTTGTTAGTAAAGCAACAAGTGTTATATTCACTGTAAGTTTGTTTGTTTAGGTTGGTAAGGATTCTTCTTGCTTGGCCTACAGGCACACTTGGATTTGCCGGATGATATTACTAAACCAATTTCTTTTTCTCCTGCTCCAGCATACTTACAAAGTCCATCCAGACAAGACAAAATTCACCCAAGTTACTGACTCTCCTGTTCTGGTACAAGCCCAAGTCAATTCCAAACAACTGAGCGATGTGAGTTCTGTCAAATATCTTGGAAATCTAATTATGAGGGGAAATATTTCATAACTTTATACATAAAGCCCAGTGACTGGTTATATTTGTTTTAAAAGATTACACATCTTTTAGAAAGTTTAGCATGGACATATTTGTAATTACTTAGAATGCTTTTCTACTTAGCTACTTTGCATTTTCTTTGAGAATAACACCTATAGTAAAGTAATTAGAGAAAGGACACTAATGTAACTTAATGCATTGAAAGAACATGAGCTCTTGCGCAGACAAAATTGGACTCAAATTCTAGTCCTATCAATTATGACCTGATAACCTAGACATATTACCTAATCTTTTTATGTCTCCTTTTCCTTTTTTACAATTTGTGGCTATTTTGAAGATTTGGTGACTTCTTAGTACATAACATAGCACACAACACAAGTACAGTGTCTAACACAGAACAGGTATTTAATACATGGGACTTCTCTCTTTCTCTTAAATAAGTTATAAAAATGGAATTTTTTGAGACAAGCTTTTTGTTTTTAAATCATATGTCAATTTGAATATGAATTTACAAACTTGTGTTGAGCTAAGGAAAAATGTAGCCACAGTAAACTTATGGTCAGAAAGGAATGTTGCAATGAAAATATCCACAATCCATGAAGGACATGAGGAGGCACACAGCCAGATTGCTTAGGAAAGGTTCTCCGGTAAGTGCACATGGACAATGTAAAGGAAGACAGGTTTGCGCTGTTCTCAAATCTATAGGACAAATTGTTATCTATGTGAAGGGGGAAAAAGCCACTTCATTTCATTATGACAACAGCTGACAAATGCCCAGCATATAGAAGGTCAATAGTGGACAGTGATGTCTCCACACTCTGGATCTCTCTTTTGATCTGAACAACTTTCTCAGATATACTTCAGAGCATATCACATAAGGCTTTTTATGTGTTGAAACAATATTTCATCTGAACTGATTGGTGCTCTTTCCCTATCTTTTTTCTCTCAGCTAAATTATAAAGCAAAACACGAAAATGAAAAATTCAAGTGCCACGTACCCTCTGATACTCCTGCCTTCATTCAGCACAAAGTCAATGCTTACAACCTGAGTGATGTAAGTTCCCAGGCTCTATGCCACATGATATATGACAGCTTTTGCATTTATTTTTGAATTGCATCATTATTTCAATGTTAATATTACTTAATAGTTATATTTCAATGTTAACACTTGTATCACTTTCTTATGCCAAGACTCATACTAATTATTTAAATTTACCTTATAAAAATGTATGTATCAGCCTTGTGACGAGTTATACAATTAAACTATCTTAATACATTTTAACCAACTCTCAAAATGCCATCATCTTCAAGTAATTGCAAACTTTCATGTTAGATCTTTTCGTTGTATGTAACGGGGCTTCAAAATTTTTGCAGAAAAAAATCCATTATCTTTTCATTCCATTTTTCTATGAACTTTTTGAAGCCCTCTCACATTCATTTATGTCATGCTCCAATTAATCATTTTTTAAGACTCTTACTTCTTTTAGATCTGATTTCATTTGATTAATTTGCCAGGTTTGTAATTTCCCTTATTCCATCTAAATTATGCTTATTTCTACATGAGAGAGAACTTTTACTTATGAAGATATAGAGTATTTAATCAAAAGGCAATAAAGCTAGGTATCCATTGCCATCTTTCATTTTATGAACTTAATTTTAAGAAAAAATCAAATTACCCTTGGGGATCTAAATTTATTTAACAATTCTATATTAAGTACTAGGGCAATCAAGCATCAATAATGGTTGTAATGATTCATGAAACCATTGCAAAGGATTTAGAGAGCAAATGAAAGTAAGTTCATAGAAAGTAAGTTAGCTGTAGAATATTTGTGCCACTCTCTAGAATATCCAGTATTAGGCATCAAACATCAGTATGATATACTGAACTAAGTTTAGTTTGGTTAGAGATTCATATGGGATGTAAAGAAACCTGATTCTGAAGAATTTGAAGTTCCAGTTTGAGGAAAATTTTTTAGAATATGCATTTTTCTTTTCTTGAACAGTAAAAATGAACTCTGGTGGCACAGTGGTTTAGTACTTGACTGATAACCCAAAGGTCAGCAGTTTGAACCTACCAGCAGCTTTGTGGAGCAAGATGTGACAATGTGTTTTCATCAAGAGTTACAACCTTGGAAACCCTATGGGGTAGTTCCACTGCCGTTTTTGTTGTTGTTAAGTGTTGTCAAGTCAGTCCCAACCCATAGTGACACTGTATAGGGTTTCTCAGGTTCGGCTGGTGAGTTTGAACTGCTGACCTTACAGTTAAGACAGACCTTGCTATCTAGTGCATTATCTCACAGCACCACACCTGGACTCCATTAGGTTGCTATAAGTTGTCATATAGAGTTGCTATAAGTTGGAGTGGGTGTTGGGTTTTAAATTTGTACTTTATATTGTTGTTAGATGCCAGTTACTAGTTTCCAACTATGGTGATTCCAGATGCATGCCATAGTTTTCAAGGCTGTGTGATCTTTTGAAAGCAGATTATCAGGTTTACTTCTGAGGGGCCTTTGAGTGGGATTGAAACCCAAACCTTTCAGTGAGTAGTTCAGCACTCAACATTTGTGTTACCCATAGACTATTTTGTATTTGTTGTTGTTATGTGTGATCAAGTCGGTTCTGACTCACAGTGACCCTGTATAGGGTTTCCAAGGAGCAACTAGTGGGTTTAAACCATTGACCTTGTGGTTAGCAGTCCAGTGCTTATCCTATAACACTACATCAGGACTGGTTATTTTATATTAAGACAAGGTATTTCATTGCCTTTTATTTTATTAAATGTGATGATATGCATATAATTTTGCCAATTCCTTTTTTACAATTTTCCTGTTCAGAATGTTTATAAGCATGATTGGGAGAAGAGCAAAGCTAAGAAGTTTGACATTAAAGTGGACGCCATTCCCCTGCTGGCAGCCAAAGCCAACAGCAAGAATGCTAGTGATGTGAGTATCCCCAGTGTACAAGACAGGGACCTCCAGGATGCTTCATGAAGCATGGGATCCTGCTCACATGTGCAATGCCATTGCAGGTGATGTACAAGAAAGACTATGAGAAAAACAAAGGGAAGATGATTGGAGCCCTGAGCATTAATGATGATCCCAAGATGCTGCACTCTTTGAAGATGGCCAAAACCCAGAGTGATGTGAGTACTTTTGTAATCACCCTATGTTCAGATATGGCTGTGCTTGCTGTTTAATACAACCTTGGAAGTGATGTCACCCCAACTGAAGTCTCAGATTTAGGAAGACAAATCAAACATAGCAGCCTATGTGGGAAAGGAAGATTAATTTCCTCATTCTTATTTATGTCTCTGCGTGTTGGGACTCCAGGGAATATTGTAAAGATTTCCTAAATTTTCTTAATGCCATCTTGTTGTTGTTTAGTGCCATCCATTCAGTTTCGTTAATGACCCTGTATAAGCTTTCTGAGGCTTTAAATTTTCTCAGGAGCAGAAAGATGAGACTTTCTGCTCCTGAGAAAATCCTGTGGAGCATCTCATCCTGTGGAACAACTGGAGAACTGGAACTGTGGACATTAGGGTTCGCAGGCCAGTGCTTTTACTAGAAACATCATTTTTTAAATTATTATTTGAAATGGGCTCAATATCTCAGTAGGTACAAATATACTCACATGTATGTGTGGTGCTGTGGGCTAAAACATCAGACTGCAAAGTCGTTTGAACTGCAAGGTCGGTGGTTCAAGCTCACCAGCTGCTCCTTGGAAACCCTATACAGGGTCACTGTGGGTCGGAATCGACTTGACGGCACTTAACAGCAACGATGTGTACATGTATGCATTTATTTCAGGCCCTGTCCTGAGTGAAGATGGTTTAAAAATTACATACAGAAAGACAAAAAGCAAGATAAGAGATAATCAGGCTAAGGAAAAAGTAAAGTATCATATGATCCAAGAGTAAATAGATAAAGGTTTACAAAACAGACAAAATGCTTTAGAGAAAGGAAGATCGCTTAAGGGAAATAAGACCCAATATATCCAGATTACACTCCCAGCTAAGGTTATTCATGGTATAAGTAGATTTGTGTCATCTTTCCGTAATCCAGAACTTGATTGGAACTTAATCCAACAGCATTTTAGGAGGTTGTGGAATAACATCCACTTGTCTGTGGATATTCATCAGCTACATGCTCAAATTTATGATATAAGTAATTCTCAAAGTGAGCACTGAGTGGCTACTAATTTGCTACCCCTGCTAGAGAGTAAGACCCACTAAGAACTTGATTGAACCTCAGCATAGTGATCCTGCTTGGTCACCTTAGAGCAGGTGGTGGGCTGGCAATGTCTTGCGTATGGGGTCCCCAGCCGATCTCCTCCCTCCCTGCCTTCCTCGGATGGCGGCTGTTTATGCTGGACGTGTGGCCAGAGACGGGTAAGGATCACGTGGAACCTCAGCAACCTAAGACAGAGCCATTGCCATGCTGCAATGAGTTTCGATGACGGGTAAGACTGAGGAATTCGCACTGACCGCCTAAGACAGGCAGCATCCCTTAAACAAACAATAAATAAGGGGAATCTGATGCAGACCGTGCAGACCTGTTCAGGAGGTCAAGACCCTGTGGGCCCAAGCGTTGTTGACTGTCCAAACCATAGGCTCTGAGGATCAGACGTTAGCAACCTAGTAGACATAGCAAACTGTCCCTCATCTGATTATTCAGTAATGCTTGTTAGTAATCTCATACATGAGCCCTGGATATCCACAGACAAATGTAAAAACCTTCCCTAAAAGCCGAGACTGTAAATTCCAAAAAGGCAAGTTCCCCCTAACCCAAAAAAAAAGCTAAAGAGGATAGAGAGAAACACTGTTAACTGATGATATATGGAGGGGATAATAACCAATGTAATGAAACAAGCTATATGAATGGTTGAATGTGAAGCTGATGATGTGCCCTGTAAACTTTCACTCAATGCAAAATAAAAACATTTAATTAAAAAAAAAAAAGTAAAGTAGAAGTGATGTGAAGCATATGCTCAAGAGCAAAGTATTATTTTTTCAAGTTAATGAAAATCTTTTTTAAAGCATTAAAATCCTTATTAAAAATAAATGTGACTCTTTGCAAAAATACTTTTCTAATTAACAGAAAAATAAATATACTTCTGATTATTCCATATCATTTATAAATGATTTGGTCTTTATTGAGTATATTTTTAGATTTCTATATTAGAGAATTAAAAGAGATGGTGAAATATATGATCCGTGCAATAAAATAGAGATCACTGTCTTTCCATGTATTATTGCTACAAAATGAAATGATAAGCATTAATGATAAAGGTAAAATTCCAGAGGTGAATGTAAAAAGTATTTTCATCATATCTTTTCTGGGACTGTGCCTAAGTTATCTTAAGTCCACCTTATACTTTATACCTCATTTTAAAGTAACTATTAAAAAATTAATTTTCTTTGAAGTATGTTAAAAGGAAATTATAATTTTAAGACTAACCAGTTTTTAGACAGCAGCATTTGTGTGCTCTACCTTATTCAGTTTGATTCATATTAGGACACATTATATACATATAAATGTTTGGATGATTTTAGAAGATTGAATTATACAATATAAGAGCCTCTAACATATTCATTCAAAATTTCTGGTTGGTAGAAAATAAATTCTGAGAGAGACAAAAGGTGTCACTTTGGTTAAAGGACAGAAGTGATACATCTTTTATCTATTAGATGGGCTTTTCTTTTGCTGTCTTCCCTTAATTTTCTTTTCCCTTTGCCAGATATTATACAAGGAAAACTATGAGAAGACAAAAGCCAAGAGCATGAATTACTGTGAGACTCCCAAATATCAACTTGATACTCTGCTGAAGAACTTTGGCGAGGTTGGAATGACCATGATTACTTCTGGAATTTAAAAACTTTTCTTATTGTTTGGCAAATAATTGTCCATTTGGGTTACATGTGTTATCTTTTTCAGAATAAATATAAAGATTTATATGTTAAGAACATCTTGGGACATTATGTGGGCACCTTTGAAGACCCATATCAAGCACACTGCATGAAAGTTTCTGCTCAAAATAGTGATGTAAGTTTGAAAACATTGTTCATGCTTCACCATGATGTTGTTTGGGAACAATGACAATCATGATCTATTTTTGTTCTTTTTCATTGTAGAAGAGCTACAAAGCAGAATATGAAGAAGATAAAGGGAAATGCTACTTCCCTCAGACAATAACACAAGAATATGAAGCAATCAAGAAATTAGACCAGTGTAAAGATGTAAGTCAGCTGCTCTGAATTCTTGAAATTTGCTTTGGGATTCTTGTGACATCTAGTGGCAAATTTAACAGGAGTTAAAATGCTAGCATCTAGTGTTAGCAGGAGTTATTAAATTTAAACTTCTGATATTTGGTGAAGTGAGGAAATAACAAACATTACTATGAAAAAGGTTATTTGTTACAGAATAAGTTCAGTTCTTAAAAAATCTTTATTTCCACTTATCATATAATTATGAACATAAGGCAAAGGAAGAGTGTGGTGGTTTGTGAGAGATGAATGCCCATTCATTCAACAAATTTGCATTGAGGGTCTAACTGTACCAGACACTGTCCTGGGTCCTGGAGAACACGGCAGACCACATCTGCTTCTTGTGTAGCATGCATTCTACAGAGAGAGACAGACTGTACTCAAGAAAAGAGAGTCAGAAAACTAAAAAAGTTCTAGGTAATAGCAATAAAATTAACATAGGATGAAGATGCAGAATTAAAATAGATGATATGTGAGTGAGTGAGTGAGTGAGTGGGCACGGTACATTGGGTGGTCAAGGAAAGTTGAATGCAGCAATGGTCCAGCTATACCAAAACTAGGGGAAGAGCAGAAGAAACAACAGCCTAAAGAGAGAACAAGCTTGGTGTTCAAGGAATTCAAAGGATCAAATGGTTGAAACCTATTTGGGAGGGTGACAGAAATAGGAAGTGAGTTGGTAAGGGATCATATAAGTTTATAAACTAAGATTCAATCTAGAGTAAATACCAAATATAGTGAAGAGCCCTTATAGGGATTAAAGAACAGAAAGATTAATCTGGTTGCTAAATGGTAGGTAGCAGAGAGACCAATTTTAAGGCAACTGCAGGAGAGAATGAGAAAGAGAAAGAAAGAGGTAAGAACGTATGGAAGAAGATTTAAAGAACAAAACAAGCTATATTTGCTTTGGCAGAAAACTGTCTTACATTTTAGTATGCATGGAATAAGAATATGAAGATGTACTAAGAAATTTCATTAACGAGCATCTTCTTTTCCAGCATGCCTACAAAGTTCATCCAGATAAGACCAAATTCACGGCCGTCACTGACTCTCCTGTACAGTTGCAAGCTCAGCTCAATACAAAACAGCTTAGCAATGTAAGTGCCTTGATTTACCAAGAATGGGATACCCAGAATACTTTGCTGATTTAAAACTCATCTACTACTCCAATACTTTTCTCTCCCCCCGCCCCAAGCTTTGTTTAGTATAATGAAAATAAAGCTGTCAGATTGAATGGTAGCCTCAGGAAAAATTGTGTCAGGCAATAGCAAATAGTTCATATTTCTTTAATAAGTGACTGATGTTTATTAGGAATGCCTTATGTATTCATTATGATCTGTCACATACAAAAAATAAAGCACACTAAAATTTCATGACAACTTAAGTAAAAAACAAAAACAAAAGCTTCCCCTTGGGTAGGTAACAAGGCAAACATTTCTCGTTCTTGGTTTGCTAATAAGACATTAAACAAAGAATAGGAGTACAGAAATCAGAAAGACATCAGCCAATGATAAGAAAATGAACATAGGATGGTGAAACAGAATTGAAGTAGGATGATATGAGAGAGCTAGTGAATAGGTGTTTTGCACTGGATGACCAAAGAAGGCCAAAGGCAGGAATGGTCCAGCCATGACAAGATGAAGGTAAGCATAGTGCTTCTCATATATACATGTGGATGCAGATCACCTGAGACCCTGTTAAAATGTCTATTCTGATCCAGTTGGTGTGAGAGAATACCCATTTTTCTGGCTTTCTAATAAGTTCCCAAATGATGCGATTGGTGGATGCATATCCCCATCAGCTCACCCCAACCCTCGCCAGAGTTACAAGGAGGTAGCATAGCAACATCCTAAAGAGTAACATATTCTTCTCATGATAGGATAATGAAATATGCAATCCATCCTGCTATAAATATACTCCAGAAGTTGCATCCTTTCAGAGGAAACTTTTCCTAACATGTTAATATTCTATGTACTAAAAAAGAGCAGTTGAACACAATGAAGTGGGCCAGCACAGTTCAGCAAGCTGTGAGAAATAATGTATTGTGTACATGGGCCTGTTCACTACCTGCTCATCTTCCTGGCCCAGATATGCCACCAGCTCTGTCTTATTGCACAGTTCTAAGCTGTAGGATAAGCACTGCACTGGTAACTGCAAAGTTGGTGGTTCAAACCCACCAGCTGCTCCTTGGAAACGCTATACGGGGTTGCTATGAGTCAAAACCAACTCAACAGCACTTATCAACAATTGTAAATAAAATACAAACACATTGAAAATTATATGTATATGTTTATTGTTGTTAAGTGCTGTCGTGTCAGTTACAACTCAAAGCGACCCTTTACAAGGTTTCTGAGACTTTTTAAATCTTTGCAGGAGCAAAAAGCTTCTTTATTCTCCTGCAGGACAGCTGGTGGGCTTGAGCCAATGACCTTATGGTTTGCAGTCCAGCACTTATCTTATGGAGCCATCATGCTTTCAAATTTTTCTTACATAGGAACAAAATGCTCTAGAATTCAATGCCCTCCTTTCCTTTTTGTTTTCTCCTGTCCTTCCAACCAACTTTGCCTTTAAAACTTTTAAGTAAAATCATATAGTTAGTGTATTTTGTGCAATGATAATATCTTTTTAATTTTGTTAGTATTTTAATTAGAATTTGTATTGCTTTTGTTAATACTCTGATTTATATTTTCAGAGGCTTAGAGTTGTTATATCCTCAAGACAGAGCCTAGGAGTTTCGATCAGCTAATGAGTTTCCCATATCTACACTGTGGTAGCATTCACAGAATGACAATAAAATAGGGGATAAGATTCAGGCTCTGTATTGCACTTCAGCTGGCATCAGTTTGAGGCAGTTTTCTGACAAAAGGGTACTCATGACTTAGCTAGCTGTGTTTTTATTCTGTTAGTTGGCATCGAGTTGATTCTGCCTCATGGCCACCCCATGTTTGCAGAGTAGAACTGCTCCCTAGGGTTTTCAAGACTGACCTTTCAGAAACAGATCACTAGGTCTGTCTCTTGAAGTTCCTCTGAGTGGGCCTGAACCACCAACTTTTGGGCTGTTAGTCTAACATTTAACCATTTGTAAGTCTCAGGTAATTTCTGAGCTATGTATACTTTTCTGCATAAATTCAGGGAAGTGCCTATCTCTTCTTTGTTTCAGCTGAATTACAAAGCAAAGCATGAAAGTGAGAAGTTCAAGTGCAATGTGCCTGCAGATGCTCCACAGTTTATCCAACATAAAGTCAATGCTTATAACCTGAGTGATGTAAGTACCAAAGTTACAAAAGTTTGTGTCCATGTGCATGTGAAAAAGGAAATGTTATAGATGATCAAAAGACTTGATTAGAAGTCATGTAAATAAACAATTACTGAGATTATTATAAGTGACGCTTTTAAGGTCTAAATGAACTGATTTTTACTTAGCTATCAAATTTAATTTCCAGTGTATCTAATGATCAGATGTTGTTGTTAAGTACCATCAAGTCAGTTCCCACTCATAGCAACCCTGTACAGGGGTTCTGAGGAGTGACTGGTGAGCTTAAACCATCAACCTTGCTGTTCAAACCCACCTTGCAGTCCAGTGCATTAAACCACAGGCACCACACCAGGACTCCAATGATCAGATACTTTCTCTCAAATATCCTTTTGATACTTGCAAGAATTTTATATGATAACTTCTTATGTAAATATCATGCTCTACCTTCTTCCAGTGGTTGTCACTTTATATTATCTCTTATTTAACAGGACAGCAGAGTCCTTAGAAACTTCATAGATCAAAAAGGTATATTATAGTTATTTAGTGGTAGGGGGGTAAGAAGCTGGATGATAGGTGAATGAACACTTACATCATCATTTGGTAGATATAGCATTTAAAAGCAAATTAAAATGACTATCTGTATTTATTTTGACTGGATTAATTTGTGTTAGATGTTGCTCTTACAGTTTCTTTGCTAAAATATTTCTGTCTAGAATGTTTATAAGCATGACTGGGAGAAGAGCAAAGCTAAGAAGTTTGAAATTAAAGTGGACGCCATTCCCCTGCTGGCAGCCAAAGCCAACAGCAAGAACGCTAGTGATGTGAGTATCCCCAGTGTACAGGACAGGGACCTCCAGGATGCTTCATAAAGCATGGGATCCTGCTCACATGTGCAATGCCATTGCAGGTGATGTACAAGAAAGACTATGAGAAAAACAAAGGGAAGATGATTGGAGCCCTGAGCATTAATGATGATCCCAAGATGCTGCACTCTTTGAAGACAGCCAAAAACCAAAGTGATGTGAGTATTTTTGTAAGAGTATCTTGTTTTCAAAGTGGCCTCCTAGTTAACCTACTCATGTGAAAGAATTCCATAAATCTGAGTTTCTCTCAGATTCACAACAAATTGCTGGGAGAAGTTTAGAAGTAGAATGATCCCCCAGATTCCCACATCTTTCACATTATTGGGTTTTACTTGATGTCCATTTCACTTTGAAAAATGTATGCATTAATATTTAGTAGAATAGGAATCTTAAAGCCTTTTGGAAAACATCACTGTATGTTTTTATATTTATGTCTAGTTAGAAAATAACTTTTAAAATGGCAATCTTAGAATTGGCTTTACTTGAAAGAAAATAAGGAGTCACAGATAAAATCTTGGTATAGCTCTCTTCACTCTATCATTTATTAGTATTGGCTTAGGTTCAGGACAAATAGTTCATTGGGAGTTAAAATTTTGTATAGAGTGCCAAATAGCTACTATTGTGATTAGCAGTATACAATTACATCATTTTTCCAAAATATTTAGATAATCTCTTAGGAGATGCAAAAAATGCTCAGCATAGTTTACAAATTAACCTTTTTTATGATGAAAAAAGAAGAGCACTGAATTCATTTCCTTTAGCTTTAACCATATGCTCATATACTGCTCTATATTTATTCATGCTTTCTATACCTCATTTTTCACTTACTATATAATCACATAGGAGTCCTGCTGTGGCCCTGTGGGTTAATGCACCAGACTGTAAAGCCGTTTGAACTGCAAGGGCAGCGGTTCAAGCTCACCAGCTGCTCCTTGGAAACCCTATACAGAGTCACTATATGTTGGAATCGACTCAACGGCACTTGACAACAACATATAATCACATAAGGAGCTCTGGTAGTATAGTGGTTCTGAGTCAGGCTGCTAATCTCATGGTCAACAGTTTGAAACTACCAGCCATTCTGTGGGAGAAAGGTGAGGCTTTCTGCTTCTGTAAAGATTTACAACCTTGAAAACCCTCTGTAGGGTTGCTATGAGTCGGAATCAACTCCATGGCACACTGCCACCACCTCCACCATATAATCACATGCCACCTTAATTGATCCTGTTTAGCAGTTTTCTCTAAGAACTCCATTCTAGATGTGTTGGTATACAGTGCTCACATCGCCACACCATCCTGTTCACTAGTTGCCTTTTCAACTCAAGAAGATTATAAGAACTTGTAGACTTCATATCTGTCTTTTGCTTCTCATTCTAGCACAGAACCCATTATGAAAGTTGCTGTTGTTAAGTGTCGTCGAGTCAGTTCCAACCCATAGCAACCCTGTGTAGGGTTTCCGATGAGTGTCTGGTGAGCTTGAACCACCGACCTTACTTTGAAAACCAACTTTGCAGCCCAGTGCATTAACTCAGTGTCACACCAGGACTAGGCATATTAGAATGCTCAAGAAATATTTGGTAATTGATTGATTCGAATGACAAAATTGGGTAGTCAATGAGTGCTTCTCACATAATATCTAGACTGAATGCAAAGCTGTAGATTTGTTGTTGTTGTTGTTAAGTGCCATCAAGTTAGTTCTGACTCATAACTACAGGGTTTCTAAGGAGCAGCTGATGGGTTTGAACCACCAATCTTGCAGTCCAGTGCTGTAGCAGGGGCATTCTTAAACCCCACTGCCATCAAATCAATTCCTCTTCATAGAAACCATAACTTAAAAAAAATTTTTTTTTAAGTTGAGTATTTTGTCAGCATTTCATATGTGCTGGTTGTGTAAGTTGGTATGAACATTGTTGTTACATACAGTTGAGTCGGTTCCAACTCATACTGACTCTGTATAGTTTCTGAGGAGTGGCTGGTGGGTTTGAACCACTGACCATGCAGTTAAAACTGACTTTATGGTCCAGTGTTCATCCTATAGTGCCACACCAGGACTCCATGAACATTAGCAAGAGTCAAACAGTTTAGTTGAGAACACTTCCATATACCAACTGCTTTGTAACATTGCTTTACTGGTGGGACTGTAGGATCAGCACTACAAATCATAAGGTCTAAATTCAAACCTACCAGCTGTTCTTCAAAAACCCTATACAGGAAAAAAAACAAAAAACAAAAAAACCACCCAACAACCCTATACGGGAACATTATGAGTCGATGGCACTTAACAACAAGATTTGGGCTCATAATTACTTAATGTTCTTGCATGCCATCAGAAAGTTTCCAACATTATAAAAACCGGGGTCTTGAGATTTTTTACAAATAAAACATAAAATTATTTTGTAAATATTTTATTCAGCAAAAGTGCCTACCCATCAAATATGGGAAGAGAAAGCTAAAAGGTTTAAACATTTGCAAAATGATTCACAATAGATTTATAACACAGATCTATACTTGTCAGCTTGGGTCACTGTTTTTAACACTTACGTGGTTATGAGGAGATAAGATGAGTTTAGAATTTCCCTAAAGGAAGTGGGTTAGAATTTTTTCTCTCCATGATGGTACTGGTAAGTAATGATGCTGCTGGGACTTTGACCTAGTTAGCACCTTGTCTGGCTAGTCCAGAAAATCAGCCAATGAAAGTGTCTCCTAGGACCCTGTAAAGAAATTTGGTTTATGAGAGGTTACTTGGTGAAATGTTTTCATTTTCATTTGAAAATGTTTCAAGTTTCATGTCACAAACTTTTCTCTTTTGAGGTCTTATAACTGCTGCAATCTGCAAGCTTCTTTTAAATTGTTATCAAAATTAAACTTTAAGTAAAAACCTTAGAGATTTTCACTGGGGTTGTTGTTGTCAAGTGCCATCAAGTTGGTTCCGACTCATAGCTATCTGTGTAGGGTTTCCAAGGAGTGGCAGGTGGGTTTGAACTGTCAGTTGTGATTCACAGTTGAGTATGCCATAGGTGCTGTCATGTTGAGAAATCAGTAACTACCCATTTAAAAATGACTCTGTTGGTGTTGTTAAGTACCATTAAGTCAATTCCAACTCAAAGTGATCCTATTTTAGGCTTTCCTAGGAGCAGTTAAGCGGGTTTGAACTGTTGACCTTGTGGTTAGCAGTAGAGTGCCACATCAGGACTGTAGGGAAACCAAAATATAAAGTCTACTGCCTTTAGTTTTATAAAATCAGAAGTAGGAAACAATTATCACATAATTTTCCAGTTATTTAAAAAACACTTCTTGATTGAAAACACGCCAAAGGTTAGATCGTATTAATAGGAATAACACCTGTTAGTAGTTCTGGAAAAACTCTGTAAAATTAGTCCCTTACTGAAGCAGAAATTCTGGCCCATTTCAGGTGTCTTCTGTGACTTTTTCATGTTGTTCTTTTTCCTTGAGGAGATTTGCAGAGATCTGTCCGTGTATGATTTGGGGGAGGGAAGGGAAGAGGTTTCAGCAATGTATAGTATGTAGTATATGAATAAATTTTAGGGTAAAGTAACTATTCAGATATTTGGATCCATTTCTCTAATTTGTGCTTATTGTTTAAAAGCCATCGTTATATTTTTCTAGAAACCCATTAGGATATATGATAATAAATGGTAATTTCCTATTCACAGCGTGAATACCGCAAAGATTATGAAAAGTCAAAAACGGTCTACACAGCACCTCTTGATATGGTCCAAGTCACTCAAGCAAAGAAATCTCAGGCAATTGCCAGTGACATAGACTATAAGCATCGTATCCACAACTACAGCTACCCACCAGACAGCATCAATGTGGACCTCGCCAAAAAGGCTTATGCACTGCAGAGTGATGTGAGTAACTGGGCTTTCTCGAATCACTCGTATTAAGGTGAACACTGAAAACGATTTCTAAATCAAATGATTTTTGGTACTTCTCAGAAGTATCTGCATTAAATCAGTAGACTTTGTCTTCTCTTTACAGCAAGTATGTAATGAGAAACATTTTCCCTTCTGGTTTCATAAGAGCATGTCCTTCAATGTTAGAAAGACTTGGGTCAGAAGTGTACTCCATCAGTGTTTCCCTCTGGGAAATGTATCAACCTTGTGGAGTCTCAGGTTCCGCTGCTATCAAATCAGAATAAACAAAGGAATTGTTTTGAGGATTAAATGCAGGGGGAAATTTTTGTGTGGTGCCTGAGCCTAGTGAGTCTTCAGTACACATTCACTGTTGCCATCACTGTTACTGTAATTATTACAATAGTAATTATCACTACTTTTACATAAATTGCTGTATTTTCTACAAATAAAATTCTTCTATCATTTAAAGCTCCAACTTACATAATGCTGCTTTCTGTCAACCAATTAATTGTCTAAGCTACACAATTGAACACTTTGCCCTAACAATTCTATTTTATGAATTATAATCTTATTTACTATTTGTTAAATTTTTCTGTTTCCTCTTCCCAAATAGATTTGACTGGGACCAAATGCTTTTTTGATTTACTATTAATTCTGTCCTAGTAATGATTCTTAATAGACCCATACTGATGAAAAACTGTAGAATACAAGTACCTAAAGCCGGACAGCAAGAGTTGTTCATTATTTTAGTATCATCAAGGAAATGCCTCAAAGTAGAACCAACTCCAGATAATAATTGCTCCCCAAGAAGCAAATTCACTAGTGCAACAACTTTCAAGGACATTATTAGCCAACGTGGAAACACCCCTAAGCTGATCATTGCAAATGACCATCAGTGTGTGCAAACACTTACAACAATAACAATTATCAAGCCTTAGCTCAGAAAACAATCAAAAGTAGCCACCTCAGTGTGACCTTCAGTCTTAATTTGCTATCGATACATGATATGTATAATTTCAGTGAGCAAACACGTCACATTTGATTATCTAAATACAACAATTTCATATACTCTTTTAAATACAGCTCTGAATTTAGCATTTTCCAGATTGAAGTTAGAATTCCACTTACTTCCATCCAGTTGGAAATAAGGATGGGATGGCATATATGCTATTAGGAGAGAAGCAAAAACCTAAGGGCTGTGAAAATCTCTCACCAAGGAAATGTTCAAAATAACCTTAATGTATGGAGTAATGAATCTGATCAGAAATCTTAACACCATTTTGAGTAAAATGTTTTACTTAATAACTGAACAAAGAAATATACCTTTTCTGTTGTTTTTTTAGGTTGAATACAAAGCTGACTATAATAGTTGGATGAAAGGTTGTGGCTGGGTTCCATTTGGATCCTTAGAAATGGAAAAGGTCAAGCGAGCTTCAGACATTCTTAATGAGGTAACGCCACCGGCTGTGTCTTATTGGGAAATTTGTGAATGTGTGTCCTGTTAGAAATTGTAAAAACCTCTCATGAGAAGTGCCTCATTTCCAGCATCATCTGCTAGCAATTGTTGTTGAGGAAAGAAACCTGACATGTGCATGGTTTATCCAGGTAGACAAACATGCCACTTTACATCACCAAAATGGCTATAGTAACCATTCACAATTGGAATAATTTTACAACTTTATGGAGGTAAAATTTACATACCATAAAATTCACCAGTTTTAAGTGGACAGTTTAATAAGTTTTAATAAACGTATGTCACTGTTCTGCTTTGTGCCATCGAGTTGTTTCTGACTTACAGCAACCTTGAATGAGGTTTCCAAGAATGACTAGTGGATTTGAACTGCTGACCTTATGGTTACCAGTCGAATGCTTATCCAGGGCTCAATAAATGTGTACATATACATTTCAATTAATTCAGCCTGTGTAAGTCCTCACCATGATGCAGATGAGAACAGGAATAATCTACATAGGAATAAGGTAGTTTAGAAGTTGCCAGTTCCAAACTGGGACACCTTCCTGTGTCCCCTCACCACTTTAGAAATAGTTTCTGTACTGACCACATTAAGGCTTGCAAAACAAAAACCTCTCTCTCTTATTAGTAACCATGTGTGTTCTTATAGCTCTTCAATTCCTCTTCCTCAAACAGTCAGCTACTTTTCTCCAGACATCCCTGAGAACTTGTTAATGTCACGCAAAAGCACTCCAAATCTCCCTGTGGACTTTTCCGCAAATCCTTTTTGGAAATTTGGTGATGTTTCTGGATTCTGTTCAATCTATAGTGCCTTCTTTCATTCCATAAGCGAGAAATTAGCAAGACTTTCAGGTCTAGTTCCTGAGAGTTGTATTGGTGTGTACTGCCCCAAATCTAAAATTAAACTGCTTTTTTTAAAAAAAAAACAACAACATTGCTTTTAGCACTATATTCATTGTTTTTTTCAAGCTAACCAAGAATCTACTATTTTTATATTTTTAAATTGGGGGGGACAGGAAGCATCCTTGTTTATCTAAAATAAGTTTCAAGGATTTTGATAGGCTAGATTTTGGCAAAAAGTAATACACGTTTCTTTCTTTTTCAATGCGCCAAACAGAAAAAGTATCGCCAACACCCAGACACTCTCAAGTTTACCTCGATTGAAGATGCTCCTATTACAGTACAGTCTAAAATTAACCAGGCTCAGAGGAGTGATGTAAGTGTTCATCCTGACTGTATTTTAATAAATATTAAGTATGCCAATGTTAAATCATACAAATGAACTTCTATTTCAAATGTATTAGTCACCTATATTTATGTTGTTGTTGTTGTTGTTAAGTGCTGTCGAGTCGTTTTCTACCCATGTTGTTGTTATGTGCCATCGAGTCGGTTCCGACCCATAGCGACCCTGTACAGGAGCTCTGGTAGCGTAGTGGTTACGAATCGGGCTGCGAACCTTAAGGTCAGCGGTTCGAAACTACCAGCTGCTCCGCGGGAGAAAGATGAGGCTTTCTACTCCCGTAAAGATTTACACCTATATTTATAATACCATCTAAATGCCTAATTATATAAAGTACCTTATGATGTCTCCAGATTTTCAGTAATAAGGCACATTCAACTCATTTCTCTAGACCACTGTGTGCAAAAGCACATATACCTAGTCCTCACTCATAAGTTTGTCATTATCACTTGGCATTCATGACAACAGTGGTGGTGGTGGTTATGTGCTGTGGAGTCGGTTCCGACTCATAGCGACCCTGTACAGGGCTTCCGGGACTATAAATCTTTACGAGAGCAGAAAGCCTCATCTTTCTCCTGCAGAACAGCTAGTAGTTTCGAACTGCTGATCTTGCAGTTCACAGTCCAATTCATAACCACTGAGTTATAACTACTATTTTGCATATTAATGATTCACATCTGGCAGTAATGAACCCTGAGGTTCTTGATAAAGTCCCTTACCAGGGGACCCCATTGCACACAGAAAGGAAGTTTGTTATGTTGTATTTCACTGACTGGGTAGGGAATGGAAGGGGTCACAGTCTCCATAAATTGCTGGTGTGCTAGGTAGAGTGGAGGGCCGGCTGGGATAGGGCTAACGGGGTTGGAACACTGTCTAGAGGATGCTCACAGAGGAACAAAGCCTGGACAATGGCAGCCAGGGTTCTAAAGGAGGACTGCCCTTGGGGCTAGCAAGAAAGTGGTTTCCCGGGAACCCACAGCTCCTGCTCCCAGCCCTGAAAAGGGCTGGGCCATGATCAGAAGAAGCCCTGAAATGGGACAGTTGGATGTCCAGGGCCTATGGGTGCTCATATCAGTTGTAAAATGTAAATGCAAAATATTGGCTAACAAGGTAGTCAGTAAGTGAAGATTGTTGTTGTTGTTAAGTGCCGTCGAGTCAGTTCCAACCCATAGCGACCCTGAACAGGGTTTCCGAGGCTGTAAATCTTTATGGGAGCAGAAAGCCTCATCTTTCTCCCGCGGAGCAGCTGGTAGTTTCGAACTGCTGACCTTGCGTTTCACAGCCCTATTCGTAACCACAACGCTACCAAATGTATTAAAAGTCCTTTCAAATATTTGACATTGCTTCTCAAGGAAAAAATAAGAAGGGATTCTTTAAATAACAAAAAACACTACACATCTGTATGTAGGACGTCTTTGTTGTTGCAGTGCTGTGGAGTCAGTTCTGACTCCTAGTGAGCCTGTATAGAGTTTCTGAGGACAGGCTGGTGAATTTGAACATTTGTGGTTAGCAGTCCAGTGCTGATTCTACAGTATCATACTAGAATAGGCCGGAAGAAAAGAACATTAGCACTACATCATATAGAGGAGTTATTTTAAGAGAGAGCTAAGACAAAAATTACACAGAGTCACGATATGTGAATATCTTTAAAAGTTCCTTAATTGTCCACAGATAGAGGTGCTTGGTTCAGTCATTTGCTCAGGGAAGTGTCTGTAGATTAGCATTTCATCAGGTCTTCTCCTCTGGACTCATTTCCACAAGGTGCCACTACTTAAGTCCAGAAGTTCTCAGTACATACCAAGGGATGTTGACCAAGGTGAGATCAGAAAGAAACATGAAGGACTCTTGAGTGACTATAGATATTTGCAGTTGAGTTTGGGGGCAGCACAGAATGTGTTTTTCATAAACATCTCTGTACAGATGATACACTTTGAAATTTTTTCCTGTGACATTAGCACTTTTCTGTGCTTTATTTTTGTGTGTGTTTATTGATTTATTTTCTCTTCCAGATTGCTTACAAAGCCAAAGGAGAGGAAATGCTTCACAAATACAGCCTGCCGGCTGACTTGCCCCAGTTCATTCAGGCTAAAGTCAATGCCTACAATATCAGTGAGGTATGTGCGTGGACACTGATGTGTGTGCTAACCCTCGTCTAAGGTGGCTTCTGACTTGTATTCAAATGATATTTCTCTTTCAGAAAACGTACAAAGCAGACTTGAAAGACTTGAGTAAGAAGGGGTATGACCTGAGGACGGATGCAATTCCAATCAAAGCCGCCAAGGCTGCCAGGCAGGCGGCGAGTGATGTAAGTCCAGCTGGTGGTCACACTTGAGTAACTAGAACATGTGAATGGTATAGAATTATGACTTAGTGAGTTAGCATGTCTGCTGTCCTCTTCCAATGAGGCAAATCAGGTTGAAAATTAGTCAGTGCCCTAACACAGATTAGACTCTTCTTGGGGCAAAGCCTTTGCATAATCTCTTGTGATAAATTCTAATCAAGTACCTTAAGTTAAAATTCTCATCTCAATTTCTCAAATTCACATCATTTCTCTTGTGGAAATAAAGAAATGACTTATTATTTAGGTCATAATAACCTCCTGATGATACAATTTTTATCTCAAAACTTTCTTAATTTATATGATTTCCCTTTGTCCCTACTCTCTTTTTACTTCATTCCTTCTAAAGACTCAGGCTTTATAATACCTGGTCCTCAGTCATTGTTGTTGTTGTCAAATGCCATTGAGTCGGTTCCGACTCATAACAAGCCAGCATAGGGTTTCCGAGGAGCATAGGGTTTCCGAGGTGGGTTTGAACTGCTGACCTTGTGGTTCTCAGTCCAGCGCTGTTCCTACAGCACCACACAAGGACTCAATCATTAGGTTCCATTAACGTTATGAATTTTATTTATTATCCTATTTTAGTTTAGCCAAAATGTGAATTGAAGACACTTTGCTCTTTGAGATTTAAAGGAAACTAGTTCAAGCCCCTCCCTGTTGTTCTATAGAACAACCTTCCCTATGATTCCTGAAAATGCTCTGAGATTTTCATTCTTCGGGGCCACTCTGGCTCCTGGTTTGTACTAGCTGGTCTATTCAGTTCACCTGCTCTCTCCCTGCTCTTTCTGTTCTGTGTAACCAAGAAATAGAAAAGAACCCCCTTTTTTCCATTTCCCCCCAAGTCCCAAACATAACTTTACAGATTGTTTGAAATGAGAAAGAGGTTTCCACTGGGCCAATGCCAACATGTTCAGGTTGAAAAATAAGGCCCTTACCCTTAAAGTCCTGCCACCCAGAAGTTCTCTCTGGCTCCCCCTTTCTCTGTGGGTTACATACTTCTCTCCTTCTCTCTGATTGTCTTTCCCTCTCTTTCTGACACACACCCTTCCCTCATGTCTCTGTTTCTCAGTTTTCTAGATCCTCCCTACATCTCTCCAAGGAAGCTCAATGTCCTTCACTTTTTATTATTCAGCACTAACTAGCTTTTTACTCACAACTGACTATCCAAAGACTAACTAAACGTTTCTACTAATCAAGCAGGCAGCTATTTGGGGATCTATTTCTTTAGCAGTATGGTACAATTAGTAGGAATTTTTGAAATATCTATCTTTTCATCTTTCTCTGTATCTAATTGAAATGGAATAACAAAAGATTTATATTGTCATTAATATGAATTCTAGTAATATTGTCACCCCAACCTCTCTTGGATGGGGGTAGCAGAAACAGCTATAGTCAGCTGTGTGGATTCTAAATAAGAATTTTTTTTCAACCTGGCTGTATTTTAAAAAATATACAGTTGAATGTCTAATTGTTTTGTTATTTAAGTAGCAGGATTTCTGAGAAGCTCAATTGCTTTAAATCATGATCTATTGTTTAGTAAGATCTTCATAACTAGATTAAAAAATATGCTCACATTTGTTTGTAATAGGTTCAGTACAAGAAAGATTATGAAAAAGCCAAAGGGAAAATGGTTGGTTTCCAAAGCCTTCAAGATGATCCCAAACTGGTTCATTATGTGAAAGTGGCCAAGCTACAGTCAGACCGGGAGTATAAAAAAGACTATGAGAAAACAAAGACCAAATACAACACACCCCATGATATGTTCAACGTGGTGGCAGCTAAGAAAGCTCAGGATATTGTCAGCAATGTCAACTATAAGCATCCTCTCCATCACTACACCTACCTGCCTGACGCCATGGACTTGGAATTGTCTAAAAATATGATGCACATTCAAAGCAATGTAAGTGACTTTGACTTGGCAAGAGAATTCACCTCTAAATTGAGACCTGCCTGGAGAGAAACCATTGCCCGACCATCCACTCATCTTTTCTCTCTTTTGCTGTAGAACGCCTACAAGGAAGACTATAATTCCTGGATGAAAGGTATTGGCTGGATCCCTATTGGGAGTCTTGATGTAGAAAAAGTTAAAAAGGCAGGAGATGCCCTGAATGAAAAGAAGTACAGGCAGCATCCGGACACCCTCAAATTTACCAGCATTGTTGACTCTCCAGTGATGGTCCAGGCCAAACAGAACACACAGCAAGTTAGCGATGTGAGTACAGTAAAGAAAAGAGGCAGTGGATGTGGAGGGAGGTGTTGTTATTTTAAATAAATGACTGTTCAAAGTTTTACTTATTCTGAGCCACTTACTTTAAAATTCTTTTATAAATGAAATGATCATTGCTTTTAGTTTGGGCATTGGCATTTTCTTTTTCTTCGGTTTTGTCCTACCCTTTAAAAGGGCCTTCCTTTTTAACTGCTCTGAAAGTACTGTGCTTTCAGATAAATTTGACATTTTATTAAAAACAAGTCTACCTTAGTACAAAATACTTCTCTCTCTCTTTCTCTCTCTCTCTCTCTTTCTCTCTCTCACACATACACACACACACATTTACACAGAATTTAACTTTGGATTCCAGCCATCTTATTGTGGAAAATTCATCCTATTGAACTCTTCATAAGTTGCTCTTGTTTGCTTTTCATATTTAAAATATTAATATAACAGCATAATGGTTCTGTTTATTATACATATGCAAATATAAGTTTGTTCTTCAGAATTGATCATATATAATTATTATAGAGATTTTTTTTATTATCATAGTGAAAATTAGATATTGTTTAGCTGCTTGATAATGAGCAATAGGTATTCTCTGGATAAACTCAGATCTAAAGAAAACTTCGATGTAGAGCAGAGTTAAAGGGACACAAAAGCATGCATGTTTTGAACATGTAGTATTTGTCAGGCACTGCATTATGTTCTGATTGTATAAAGGTGAAATAGACAAGGACTAGTTGTAGGTATCACATATAAACAGACTTTTGCCATGCCAAGATATTAATACTGCAGGAAAGGCATGTGCAAAGTATAATGGAAACTAAGAAAAGTGTGCATTCCTCCACGGAATTAATGGGAGGACAGTCAGAGGTGAAGAAGTGTCATCTGATTGCTGAGGTTCTTGGTGGATAATTCATGGAGTCTGGACATCACAGGATAGGTAACAGGGGGTGTTGAAGGCTCTTAATCCATAAGAGTCACATGGTCAAATCCATCATTTAAAGATAACATTGGCAAAAAGTACAGAGACTGTATTGGAGAGAAGAGAGGCTGGAAGTAAAGCAATTAATTAGAAATTTGTTACAAAAGTCCAAGGGAAACATTATTTGGATTTAAACTAAGACATTCACAATTGGGAAGGAGATGTTGAGACGATAGTATTAATGAGATTTGGTGAATGAGCTATGATTCTTAAAGACAGTGAGGAAATAAAGATAACTCATAGGTTCTTAGACACAATTACTTAATGTTTAGAGGTTAGTTGGGATATCAGACTTTACTTGTCATATATACACTCTGAACTACATATGATATTCCAATTGTCATACCTTGGAAAAGAGGAATATAATAAACTACAAGAGACTGTTAAGTCATTCATTTATTTTCCATTACCAAGAAGGAATGCAATAATATCATTATGTTATATATTTTTATGTCTTTCCATGAAAAGTATATGCAATTCTTTACAATGGCAAAATAATAAATATGAAATGATAGACCCTTTGAATGTACTAGATTCATATTCTGAGAAAGTCTTTCTATGATTACACTGATACAATTATAACTGGAAAGTTTTTAGCATAAATAAAATATTCATTTTAACTACTATTTTCTCTCTTGGGGAGAAAACCTTTAAGAGCTACTAACTCCAAAGAATGGATTTACTTAGTTTGATTATTTCTTTTATTCATGTTTGAATTTCAAATTTGAGTTTATTATCCATTCATCTCTGACAATAAAAGATTTCTATTTTTTTTACTTTTTTTTCCCTTTCCTTCTTTCTCTATTTTAATATACAAAGCTTGAGTATTTCTAAAGGAAACAAGCTGCCTAGGTTTTTTTAAAATAGGAAAATGCCTTTGATAATTTTTGACAATTAAAAAGAATGGGGACTTGTGCTCAGAATAACTCTTCTAAGTTTGCCTTTAAATATGTAATTAATGGATTTTAGATTTTATTTTTTGTACTACCTGTAATACATTTTTTTGTGTGATTCCATATTGCAGATCTTATACAAAGCTAAAGGGGAAGATGTGAAGCATAAATACACAATGAGTCCTGATCTTCCTCAGTTTCTCCAGGCCAAGTGCAATGCTTACAATATCAGTGATGTAAGTGGGATCTTTAACGGGTTGTGAACTCCAAGCTTGACAATAAAATAATAGAATCTTAGTGTAGGATGGGGCCTTGACAATTATTTAGGGAAATTTCTCACATAGCTCTGTTGGAGCATATGCCATGATTATTTTTTTCTTCAGTTGATCTTTTCAATGGTAGAGCAACTAACGGATATAACATTCTTTACTATACAGCATACAAAATCTATTTCCCTAAAACTTCTACTTTGTTTTTCTCATTCTGCCCTTCAGAAAAAGGAAAAAAAAAAATCCTTTTTCTTAAGATAACTTTAGCATTTTTAAAGCTTCCCTTGATCCTTTTAAGGAAGACAGCAACTTCATTTTCTCTTAGTTCTCATATGTGATGGTATCCCAGATCTTTATTATTGAATCCCTATCAATATGTGATTTCCCTGGATGGTGCAAATGGTGAGCATGCTTGGCTACTTAACAAAAGGTTGAAGATCTTAGTCTACCCAGAAGTATTTCAGAAGAAAGTCCTGGTGATCTCCTTCCTAAAATCAGGCATTGAAAACCCTACAGAGCACAGCTGACTTTGACACACATGGGGTCACCATGAATTAAAGTCAAGTGGACAGCAACTGGTTACTAGTCAGTCAGTATGTACCTAAACCAGAGGTGGGTGGATAATTAGTACCGAGTCCAATGATTTTATGTTACACAAAGTGTGATGCTTTATAAATGTAACTTCCTAAAACATGATACGGTCTAGTAGACTCCTTAGAAAAGCAGCTAAGGAATCACTTTAACTGATTAAGACAGAGCATGCTGACATCCTTTCTGTTTTTCCATCCCAGGTATGTTATAAGCGGGACTGGCACGATTTAATAGCCAAGGGCAACAATGTGCTGGGAGACGCCATTCCCATCACAGCAGCCAAGGTGTCAAGAAACATTGCCAGCGATGTGAGTAAAAAATTTCAGTGAAATCTGGGTGATTACCTTTTTTCACATGTAATCAAATGTGTGCTTGTTTAAATGATACCTCATTGAAAACAATATGTTGAATTAATGACATTCAGATTCCCCAGAAAGTTTTGTTTTGAAAATCTGTCACTTTTTCAACATTTTCATGCTCTTTCCAGTTGACCCTACTTGGTAGAGCTGTCATAATTCTGACAGCGGCTTTGTCCCCTGATTCATAGCCCAAATTATCTTCCCTGACACATTTCCCTGACAGCATACATTCATTTTCAGTGGGAACACCCTGACTGACACTTACATGTTAAATTCAGATGAATGCCTTCATTATAAATGTATTACGGAGATTGAAAAATTGTTACACAAAGATTTTTATAAGCCAAATGGAAAAAACCCCGCTTTTCTAAGATATAACTTTGATTCTTGCAAATTGATGCCCATTTTATTTGTAATAAATATATATATACTGGTGTAGTGCTGTATGATAAGCACTGAACTGCTAACTGCAAGGCCAACGGTTCAAATCCACCAGTCGCTCCTTGGAAACCCTATATAGAGTCACTATTGAGTCAGAACTGACTCAATGGCACTTAGCAACATTTATCCTTAATCCCATTTTTGGAAAGAAATGTTTTCTAAATTCAAGCACTTTACTTTCACACACTATTCCATGGGCTATAGTGTGGTTTGAGAAGAGTCTAGAAGAAAGGAACCAACCTGCATGCAGACCACAGCAGCGATGGGGTTTAAGAACACCCCCGCTTTCATTGAAGGCATGGTTCTGAAAAAGTCTTCCTCAAAAGCTTGTAAATAATACTCATTGCTAAGAAATGAATTTCTAGTTTTAGGAAGGAAGTCAGTGTCTAGAGAATGACATCACATTTTTAGCACTTGTACTGTGATCTTTCTAGCATTACTTATTAATCACTTTTACCTGATAAATCTTTGCTTGTAAATTAGGTGGATTTGCATTCTCTTGTGTGAGAATTCAGGTTTTGACCTATTACTGTATAGTTCTGTGTGCATTCCCATTGCTAATTCCAGAAATGAGAGGACAGACCTTAGCAACAGAGATTTTGTCTGTAGGTTTTTATTGATGGAGAAACCCACAATCATTCCTGCCCTCACTCTAGCTTCTTAATTCATTTGCAACTGCTTTCAGCAGTAAGTTTGAAAAGTAGCTTGTAAGAAATGGGGTGGCTTAAAGGCCGCACTGCCTTTAAACTGGTGCCACCTGGAAAGAAGATGGTTTTTATTTAACCATGTTAGGTCAGCTTGGGACAACAAGCACAGGAAGGTTTTCTGCTTCTCATCCCGGTCGGATTTGAGTGTCAACATGCAGAGTTCTCTTCTGCACTTGTTGGGAACAGAAAATAGAAGAGGTCCTCAAAAATTTTTAAGAGTCACTGAAATATCATTGGGTCTGTAACTCACATCCCTGAGAAACCAAGCTATTGGTTTTATATTGTTAGCATGACATGTTCATATTAAAAATGAGCATTCAGTTGGTTTTTAAAAAAAAGTTCTTTATGCCAATAATCTCCAGGACTCATAGCAAAAAAAAAAAAAAAAAAGAGAGAGAGAGAGAGAGACTGGTTCTGAATTTATCCTGATACCCTCTTGAGATCCAGCAGTGTTTGAAATAAATGCTTTCACTCTGGAAGGTGATGTGCTCTGTATTCCATATACAGTCTTTCAGAAAGTCATAATGTTCTGAAGGTCTTTGTGTATGAGTATAATTGCTGCACCAAATGCTATAAATGCCCAGAGCTTTGCTAACCAAGTTCTATCTCTGCAGTATAAATACAAGGAAGCTTATGAAAAGTCTAAGGGAAAGCATGTGGGCTTCAGAAGCCTCCAGGATGATCCCAAGCTGGTCCACTATATGAATGTGGCAAAGTTGCAATCCGATCGTGAATACAAGAAAAACTACGAGAACACCAAAACCAGCTATCATACTCCTGGGGACATGGTCAGCATAACAGCTGCAAAGATGGCCCAGGATGTCGCCACCAATGTCAACTACAAACAACCGATACATCATTACACTTACCTACCTGATGCCCTGAGTCTGGAGCACACCAGGAATGTGAATCAAATTCAGAGTGATGTAAGTATGTGGAGCAGAACAGACCCAAAGAGTTGTGTGCTTAAAGGAGGATGAGCATAGCTCCCTGTTTTATTAGACTTCAGAATACAATAAAAATTTAAAATATAAACCATAAACTATTATAAGATTAACAATGACAAGATAGACAGGCTATGTTTTACCTGACTTTCTGTGCTTATAGCATAATGATTATGACATTGTCTTTCTGGATCAAAAATAAACCCTATTCCAGTCCCTAAACAGGCGCTTCTGGTAGGCCAGCTTCAATGACAATAGACATATCATATAAAATACGAGAATTCTTGGTTCTTTTTGAATTTAGGAAGGTTTTCTTGTTGATTTCTTTTTTTTTTTTTAACTCAAGGCCATGCTCACATCCATGTAAATCTATGGAATGAGTCATCTAAAATGAACCATCAAAGCTTTGTGATAGCAGCATGATTCATGGGGAGGGTATTTAACATTCAGAGGATTTTCTTCTGCAAGTGAGAGATTTCTGGGAGAACTGTTCTTTGTAAAGGGAAGAAATGGTGCTCATTTATTGCTATGCAATTAAAATGCCTCTTCCTTGCTGAGATCAGGAATATCCTAGATGAACAATAGGGGCTTACAGAGAATCTTTGGATGAAACTACAAGTTTTAGTGTCTTCAGTGAAATGAAAAGAAAAACCCAATTTATTGCCAAAAGAGACACAATCTTTTAGCAGAACTCATGAAAATATATGACCTAGATTCCCTCCAGTGTTGTATAATGTACCCTTACGGCAGAGTTGCTTTCTTATTACTTTCACAGAGTAATCAGCTCTGTGACAGACACAGTGAAAAGCTCTGTTACAGACACAAGCATGCTGAGAAGAGTTGTTATTCATTTCTTGGGGATAGAACTGCAGATTTTAGAAACATCTCTTGAATATTCTCTAAGGTGTCTCCTCATATGAGATTACTCTTTTACAGAACGTATATAAAGATGAATATAACAGCTTCTTGAAGGGCATTGGATGGATCCCTATTGGTTCTTTGGAGGTCGAGAAAGTCAAAAAAGCAGGCGAAGCATTAAATGAGAGGAAGTATCGACAGCACCCAGACACTATCAAGTTCACTAGTGTGCCTGACTCCATGGGCATGGTTTTGGCTCAGCAGAACACAAAGCAGCTAAGCGATGTAAGCATTTTTCTTCAAAAGCACTTGTCCCTGAAGAACCCACAAATCAGCCATTCCGCCACCTTTCTTAACTCACTATGTCAAGGGGCATCTATATTAGCAAATTGCTTTCAGAGTTTTATGATAGAAAGGTTTTACTATTTAAGCAACTTGAATCTTTCTTAGGAAAAATAGGGAAGTGGGAGGGGGGTTCAGGTTTGCCTTATACCCAAATGTAGAGAGTCTGTATTATTCATAAGAAAATCCCTATCCATTCTCCATAAAAATGATAGCATTGCTATTATTATTTGTCTGAATTGCTAAATAATCGACATTGCACTGTGTTGCAATAATTCTGCCTAGCTGCATTGGGAAAAGGCACAATGTCTTAATCCCTTTGCATAATAGTTCCATGTTCTGAGAGGATCTCAGATAGAGACCTTGTGGGAGGTGATCACTCTGAAGGCACACTGATGACTCTGGGGTGTCATTTCTGAGCCCAGGTCAGTCTGGGACTCTTATACTTTCAGTTAGGAGCTACTTACTATGCTCATTGCCATCGAGTGATTCAGACTCATAATGATGGCATAGGACAGAACAGACCTGCTTCATAATTTCCAAGGCTGTGAATCTGACTGTTACAATGCTGACCTTTTGTGCAGCAGCCAAGCAGTTAGCCTCTGTGCCAGGAGGCCTCCTTGTGGTAATTTCATAATCCACCTGTAAGGAAGGCTAGACTTTTTAGGATTCTAACCTCCAGATTTTGGAAAGTGGCTTGGTTTAGATTTGAGGATTATCAGTAGATTTCAGGACAGTCCCCACATTACCACAGATATTTAAATATTAGTTCTATTTAAGTGGTAATAGTGTTGCTTCATTAGATTTCTTTTGCACTGAACTTGTGTCATTTCTCACTGTGTTTTTCAGTTAACTAAAGAAACTGGAGAGTTGAGGGGGCACCCTGGTATGACACTGTAGGACTGCTAACCACAAAGTTGGTGGTTCAAATCCACCAGCTGCTGCTTGGAAACTCTATACAGGGTCTATATGTGTTGGAACCAACTCGATGGCACTTAACAACAACAAAGAAACTGTACACTTACGTAGTCAGTGTTCTCCATCTGCCAAAATGATGTGAACATCTGCCTAGTTACTCAAGCCAGAAACCAGGCAGTCATGGTTGACGCCTGCTTGTGTGAATCCCCACATCCAAGATATCTGCTGAATCAAATCTCTCTCATCTATGCAATCTGAATATACTGCTACCAACTGCCACCAACCCCCATTCTGTCTACTAGGGACATCTGTAATAACCTGCTGGACTCCCATCCCAAGGTCCCACACAATGAGAGACCATCTTAAAGCATAAATGAAACCATGTCAGTCTTATACTAAAACCCCTTAGTAACTGTACCTTGAACTGAAAATCTAAACTTGTTAACTTGACCCTCCACTCTATGGCTTTTTCTTTCTAATCCCCTTGGCCTCCCTCCACACATTATAATCACATGACCCTTTCTAGCAGCCCTGGAAGGTTCTTTGTGTGCCCAGCTCTTCTGCCTTTTCTCAAAATGTGTGCATGAGCATCACCTTCTCAGAAAGCCTTTGCTGACCACCCTACTACTTCCCTGCAGTTATTCCATTTGCAATCCATCACACATTTAACTCTGTTTCATGGTTTGTGGCCTATCTCCTCTACTGGACTGTAGGTTCAATGAGGACAGGGATAAGGTCTGTCTTTTCCATCAGTTTAAAAGCAGAAACTATCACCATGCCTAGCGCACACCACTGTCTTAAAAAGGTTGGTGGAATGAATACATGAATATGTCTACTAGAGCCCCCTCACTGCAATGCTTTTGGTATCTGCCTGGGGCATGGAAAAGCACAAAGATAGCCTTAATTTTTTAAAGAGTGAACTTGATGTAACACAATAGGTCAACTAATACCATTTTCATGTTGCCTCCTTCTTTTTAGTTGAACTACAAGGTGGAGGGGGAGAAACTGAAACACAAGTACACCATGGACCCGGAATTGCCTCAGTTTATTCAAGCTAAAGTCAATGCTCTCAACATGAGTGAGGTGAGTAGCTGCCTGGTGCCCGTCGAATTTTGCTTCTGACAGCCTCTCCTTGCTAGTTCTGTGGAACTCTCACAATACGTTTAGGGGAAACAAACTGAGTGTGACCTCGTCTGAGATCCCAGCTTAGATCCTTAATGGAGACCATGAGACTCCAGGACTCTGTAAAATGTTTGCTAATGCTGTTGTTCTGAGTTGCTATGGAGTCAATTCTGATTCATGTTGATCCCAGCTGTGCATGGTAAAATTGCTCCATAGAATTTTCAAGGCTGTGTAATCTTTCAGAGGCAAATCACCAAGCCTGTCTTCTGAGGTGCCTGTGTGTGGGTTCAGGCCTCCAATCTTTGGGCTAGTAGTCAAGCCCCTCACCATGATACCGCTGACATTTCCTGTCAATGGACTGTGACTCATTAGGGAGTTGTGAAATCAATTCAGTAGCTTGTGACCAACATTTTTTTTAATGGAACAAAATGGATTAGATAAGATTGGAAAATACAGCAGTGCCTGGTCTGTAGTAAGGATGCATTTTGCTTTCTTATCATTTATTTCAGTTATTTGTTAAAACTCTCGAAAGAGGTTAATGTAATTATCTTCTGAAACATATTTCTGTAACTAGCCTTCCTCTTGGGAATTATATATATTTAACTGGTGATGATGCATAAATCCACTTTTATTTGAAGTTGATAAATTGCTATTTTAAAAGAGTCGAACTTGAATAACATTGCTCATTTCTTTTTAAATGACTTCTTCATTCTTCCCAAAGTTTTGACTATCTTTGGACTCCAAAGATCTTCTTTTATCCATTTTTATTTATTTATTTTTATTTAGGAAAAATTATTTTTTCTTATTTAATAAGTAATATAGAAGGCCAAAATACTAAAATTTATTAAGGCTGGGTGGTATCACATCAGAATTTTTTATATTAGTCTCCAAATTTTTCTGTAAATTTCAAATGCTTGATTACAAACAACACAAAAAAGTGCTCACTTATTACAGAAAAATTTTAAACCATTGAAAAGTATGAGAAAATCAAAACTCATCTGTTATCCTGCAATCAAAGCATTCTCTTTTTGTCTTTGTTATATAAACATATACAATTTTAAAGAGGTTGGGCTCAGACTGTATATTCAGTTCTGTTTGCTGATGTTTTAAAAAGGATTTTCTAGGTATATAAAAGACAAATAACTCTAATTCTATGAGTGTCCTTAATGGAAGGGTATATACTATGACAAGTTTTATAAGAAAGATTTTGGCATCTTGTTTTATACTTTTAATTATGTAAAATGATGAAATAATCCTTCCTGTTTTTGTAGGCTCATTATAAAGCTGACTGGAAGAAAACCATTGCCAAGGGCTATGATTTGAGACCAGATGCTATCTCAATAGTTGCTGCAAAAAGTTCACGGAATATTGCTAGTGATGTAAGTCTTATTTGAAAGTAGTATAGTCTATTTCTCTACATTTTTTAAATCTTTGTATGTCATTTAAGACTATCTGAGCTAAATTAGGAACTGAATAAGGAAACTATAATATTAAAAGTATTTCTTGATATTGCAATTATTATTTTAAATATTGCCTCCCTTAAAATATCTTTAAAGAATTAGTATTGTTACTAGTAAGAAGAAAGTCATTTTTTAAACTGTCAAACATTGGGAATTCTCATTAGTAGCATTGTTTGAATTTGCATACTGCTTTTTATTTAGATTTTGTGAAGAGAAAGACTATTGTAGTTGTTGCTGTTCAGTGTTGTCAAGTTGGTTCCCAGTGACCTTGTACAGGGCTTCTGAGGAGCGGCTGGTGGGTTTGAACTGCTGACATCGTGGCTTGAAGTCCAGTGCTTAGCCTACAGAACCACACCAGGAATCTGAGAAAGAGTCTTGGTATACTAAAATAACAATGAATCAAAACAATATGCAAATGTTTTAAAAGAATAGAATTTCTAAATTTTGTAATATCCACAAAGAAAACCATCTGATGAAAACCGGAAAGAATTATGGATTAAATTACAGAATTTTAATTTATTAGTCAATAAAAAATTAGGTTGTATTTTTATAGAAATTCATATAATAAATACCTTGGTAGAGTAAAACTCAATCATATAGCATCCAATATGCAAATTTGTATAAGGGTATTGATGAAATTTATTCATAATTATGCAAACATTTTATCAGATAACAGTTGTTGTTGTTGTTGTTGTTGTTAAGTACCATGGAGTTGGTTCCGACTCATAGTGAACCCTGCACAGGGTTTCCGAGGCTGTAAATCTTTACGGGAACAGAATGCCTCATCTTTCTCTCGCGGAACCGCTGGTAGTTTCGAACTGCCGACCTTCAAGTTAGCAGTCCAATTCGTAACCACTATGCTACTAGAGCTCCTTAAGATAACAATAGAAACAAGAAAATAAAAAAATACACAATAAACAAACTTTTCAGGAATTTTTGGAAAACATTCAATGAATCTACTTATAAATCATCTACATATAACCTACAGATCATTCCAATTTTAACTATCCTCAGAGTAGGATTCAAAATCAATAAAAACATTTTGTTAATGGTTTATTTAAAAAATTAGAAAAACATTTTGTAAAAAATCTTAGATTTTACCTACATTCAATTGGAATTTGGCTTTAAGTGAATTTTTACATAAGTGTAGTTTAATATTGTTGAGTACACATGAGATATTTTTATAACTTAATACAAATAATTTTCTATAATATAATTATAAGTTATTATAAAATTATGTTACTGTTCTGGTAGCGTAGTGGTTACTAATCGGGCTACAAACCTTAAGGTCAGTGGTTCGAAACTACCAGCTGCTCCGCGGGAGAAAGATGAGGCTTTCTACTCCCGTAAAGATTTACACCCTCGGAAACCCTGTACAGGGTCGCTATGGGTCGGAACCGACTCGATGGCACTTAACAACAACAACAACAACAATATAGTATTATTAATGCTAATAAAACTTGTTTATTAGAGTTTACTACGTAGTTTAGCATTTTCTGTGCTCTACCATATCAAATTTCTGTCTGCCCTTCTCTTTTCATCTAGTGCAAATATAAGGAGGCCTATGAGAAAGCCAAAGGCAAGCAAATTGGATTTCTCAGTCTTCAGGATGACCCTAAATTGGTTCACTACATGAATGTGGCCAAAATCCAGTCAGATCGTGAGTATAAAAAGGGTTATGAAGCCAGCAAGACCAGCTATCATGTACCTCTGGACATGCTCAGTGTGACAGCTGCAAAGAAATCTCAGGAAGTTGCTACCAACACCAACTACAAACAGCCATTCCATAACTACACGCTGCTGCCCGATGCCATTAATGTGGAGCACTGCAAGAATGCGATGCAGATTCAGAGCGACGTACGTAATGCTCCACAGATGTGTCAGTATAGGCTTAGGTACCAATTTCCAGCTGGTGGGAACTAGGAAATTCCACTTACTCAACCCTAAAGCCAGTTGAACTCACTGTCATTAAGAATTTCTTCCAGTATTTGAAGTTTGGGGAATTTACTCATTTGAATTATATGTTATTTAAAAACAAAACAACCAGCTTTGGCTGTTAGACCACTGTATCATATATTCTGTGTGAACTCAAAAAGTTCAAATGGATATCATAATCTTTCTTTTAGTGCAAAATTATTTTCCAAAGAGATATTGTAAATGGGATCTACTCTATGTACCATAGGTTAGGATAGATATGTTCCCTTTCTGTTAACTTTTCTTTTCTTTTACCCCAAGAAAATTATTTTTTAAAGTAATTTTTGGGGATCAGGATTTCAAAACCACCATGAATGCAATAATTCCTTTTGCAATGAATTTTCCCCAAATGACAGGAGTAAAGAGCAGGTTATTTGTCTTTTTCTTTCTTTTTTTTTTTTTTTTTTTTGATAATGATTGAATCATCTAGCAAAAAGAATGCAAGGCCTGATCCTTTCTGAAATGAGAATTTTCCTTTTTTGTTGTAAAGAACTTATACAAATCTGACTTCACCGGCTGGATGAAAGGGATTGGCTGGATCCCAATACAGTCACTAGAGGTCGAGAAAGTAAAGAAAGCAGGAGAGATACTTAGTGAGAAGAAATATCGCCAGCACCCTGAGAAGCTGAAGTTCACCTACTCCATGGACACGATGGAACAAGCTCTCAACAAGAGTAACAAACTGACCATGGATAAGGTAAGAACTCAGCTGCTAGCCTCAGCCACAGATACTCAATGATGCTCCCTGACAGTGCCCCTGATTGTTCTTCTGTATTTTGAATTTTCTTGTGATAGTGCTGCTGCTGGTGGGGGATGGGTACATTTCACCATGTCTGAAGACTTCTCTCCTACACTGAGGTTCACACTGTCTTTCACCGCCATAAATAACATACAAGAGAACCACAAAATCCCACACAGTTGTGAGATTGGGACAAAATGGCATTTATTGCTCCAGTGTAAGGGGGTCTTTTTGTTGTAGATGCAGTTTCTCCCACCCATCTTCTTGCCATTTCAACCCATTTCTAATATTTGATTTAACCCCTTTGACCATGGGAATGTGGACTCTCTTCTTCTTAGTGGTATAATATAGTACACTTGCCCTGCTATGGAATCATATGCCTGATCTTCTTATTGCAGAAACTCTACACTGAAAAATGGAACAAAGACAAGACTACCATTCATGTCATGCCCGATACTCCAGATATTTTACTCTCCAGAGTAAATCAAATCACCATGAGCGATGTAAGTAGATTAACAACAACAAACACCGAGGAGAAGATTGAAGAGAACTGAGAGTTATATCGGATGTCTGTCTGGTACATGCCACTTTGGAAATTAACAGATGCCATTGTTTTCTATTTTATCTTCTAGAAACTGTACAAAGCTGGCTGGGAAGAAGAAAAGAAGAAAGGATATGACCTGAGGCCCGATGCTATCCCAATACAGGCAGCAAAAACCTCTAGAGACATTGCTAGTGATGTAAGTGATTCCACTGGACCTCCTTTAGGATAAATGAATGTGAGCAAGTGAGTAAAGCTGATGTATACTCAGGAGCTGGAATGAGTTCTATTCGGTGCTGGTGGGAAGACCATCCTGTGTGCAGCACACATGACACTTTCATAGCCTGGTTATGTACCTCTAATCATCTGTTCATGATTTACTGTAAAAAGTGACCAGGTTCTTGCTAAAGTAAGTTGCATTTAGATGATTCAAATCATCTATAGGCCACAGGGATGTAATATGCATAGTCTGCTGAGTAGACACAGGGCCAGGCTCTAGCCTCAATTTAAAATACACTGTGAAAATCTATTCCTGCAGCCTAGTTTGCTTGTTGGGTTAATGAATGGGGAAAGATGCTTTCTAAATCATTCTAAACCAGCACATTCATGTCTCTTGAATTAACTCTGGGATCCTTTTCTTTTCATGGACTCCAGTCTGGGAAGAAATTTGAAGTAAAAAATATTTGCTTCCAGCCCCTTGGGAGCTCCTCCTTTTCAAACTTTAAAGTAACTTTCAAACTCAACACCTAAAGAAAAGTTAGAGGCATCTAGTGAATGGTACTTGATTCTTTCCTTCAGCATTTTCATTACCATGCTTTGTCTTCTGCCCACAGTACAAATACAAGCAAGCCTATGAACAAGCCAAAGGAAAACACATTGGCTTCCGGAGCCTAGAAGATGACCCAAAGCTAGTGCACTTCATGCAGGTGGCTAAAATGCAATCAGATCGGGAATACAAGAAAGGATATGAGAAATCCAAGACATCCTTCCACACCCCAGTGGACATGTTCAGTGTGGTGGCTGCCAAGAAGTCTCAGGAAGTGGCCACTAATGCCAACTACAGGAATGTGATCCACACCTACAACATGCTTCCTGATGCCATGAGCTTTGAATTGGCCAAAAATATGATGCACATTCAAAGTGATGTATGTGAAAGTCACAACATGTATTTTCTCTGAGCATAATAAGCAAGTCATGATTGATTGTAACTAATGAAAAATGTAAATTTCTGAGAGAAATGTATATGCAATTTCTCAACAAAGTGTTTTTATTTGTTACTTTAGATTGAATTTATTTATTTTAGCTAAGCAGGATTAATTCTAGAAAGTAGTGTCTTATTTTCTATTATTATGCTTTGAGCATTGAAGTCTGAATTCAAGAGTAGCAAATAAAATTTGGCTTCAGAAAGAATGTATGGAAGGAAATACATTTAGCAGAGAAAGTGAGAAACATAAAATGCTCCTAGCAGAGGAGTAAACGGAAAAGCAGGAAATCAAGAGACTTGATAGGGCCTGCCTCTCAAACCCAACAATTTTTACTATGTGGTGCTTCTAACTTTGCAATTGCTGCCTTACTTCCTGGTGAAAGGTGGAAAGGTCATGGATGAGGCAACATTAGAATAAATATGCAGAAGACAGAAAGGTAGGACACCAAGAATTCAGCTATAGAGTTCCTTTGGTGGCCAGCGGATTTTAAATTAGAAACCAAAGGTAGGTCATGCCAAGCCTATACTTCTCTGGGAAAGTAAATGCTGAGTTATTGATTGTCAGAGAGGTATACAAGCATCCAGATGAAAGTAACATGATGGGTTTGGAAAAAATTGCCAGAACTGAGGGAGGAAAAATGAAACTTGCTCAGAGTCCCAGTAAGATTTCTGGCATGCCCAAGAGAGTTGTGACCGTGGTGAATGATCAGGCACTTACATCAAAAGAGAGGATTTGTTGTCTATTAGTCAAAGGACCTGGGAATATGTGTAAGACAGTTTAAGTCACCTTCGGAGCCCTGGTATGGCACTGTAGGATAAACACTGGGCTGCCAACTACAAGATTGGCAGTTCAAACCCAACAGTCACTCCTTGGAAGCCCTCTACAAGGTTGCAATGAGTTGGACTGACTCAATGGCACTTAACATTTCTCTGGAGACAACAATTCCATGGCAGATTAAACTATTCATTGTTTCTTAATGTTGTTTCTTTATGAAGGCATCAGAAAAATTGCATTTAAAACTCATTTTAAATTTCTCATGCAAGGAAAAGTTAAAAAGATAGAAATTGAAAGCTGAAAATGGTTGAAGTTCAATGTAACAGAACTATTGGTTAACACCAGAAGTGGGCGTTAAGGAGTATTCAGTGCACACTCAGTTCTTGGACACTTTAGTTATGTCTCATCGTCTGTTTCCTACTTTGCAGAATCAGTACAAAGCTGACTATGATGACTTCATGAAGGGCATTGGATGGCTCCCTCTGGGCTCCCTGGAGGCAGAGAAAAACAAGAAAGCCATGGAGATTATCAGTGAAAAGAAGTATCGCCAGCACCCTGACACTTTGAAGTATTCCACATTGATGGACTCCATGAATATGGTTCTGGCCCAGAATAATGCAAAAATTATGAATGAAGTAAGTCTTTCAATAATGTAATGTCTCACATGCATCAGAGAGAATTAGGCATATTTTACACTTAATCTAAAGATTTTGCTAACCCAAGTGCTTTTCATTCGCAGTGCATATGCTAAAATACGAGGCTGCTTTAAAAAGTGCATGGAAATATGGAATTAAAAATAATGGAATTGTCCCACAAAAAATTTTAAATCCTCTTGTATAAAGCATCTCAAGATTTACTCTACCTTGAGAAAGAGTCCTTACTGTTAAAAAAAAAAAAAGAAAAAAAAGGTAGAAACTATTCCTCATCAATGACCCCAAAAGTGTTTAACGTACTACCCTGCCTCATAAAACCAAAACAAGACCAAATTTGTCATCAAGTCAATTACAGCTCCTTTATTGGGTGTGATCTTTATAGAAGTAGATCACTAAGCCTGTCTTCCATGGTGCAGCTGGACAGGTTCAAACTGCCAACCTTCAGGTGAAAAGTTGAGTGCAAACTTTCTATCTTCTGTTGTTGCTAAGTGTGTTCAAGTCGGTTCCAAATCACAGCAACCCTGCACAGGGTTTCTGAAGAGCAGCTGATGAGTTTGAACCACCAACCCTGTGATCCAAACCAATCTTGTAGTCCAGCATTTTAACCCACAGTGCCTATGGGTGAATTAATTCAATGACTGAGCAAATACAGCAGGCGAATTTTAAGTTGATAATTTTGTATGTCCTGTGAATGATGTTGTAAATTTTGGCATGAAAAAGATATATCTATGTTGCTCTGGGTCAATGTGCTGGACTGCAAAGTTAGTTTGAACCTCAAAGTTGATGGTTCAAGCTCGCCAGCTGTTCCTCGGAAACCCTATACAGTATATAGGAAACCCTATATAATGGGTTGGTACTGACTTGGCACTTAACAACAACAACTCTGCTTTACACAATCAATAAGAATCAGAATCGATTGACAGCAATGGATTTTGGGTTTCTTTTAATATATACCTTTAAAAATGACTTTGCTTGTCGCAGATGGGGCTTAGTAGCAGTTCACAAAGCTGAGTCAGCAGAATATTTGTCTGACAACAACTGGGTGTTTCAGCCCACCCCTGCCTGATTCCTTGCTCCTTTGATGAGATTACAGCAAATTCCCCAGAATATATGACTACAGTGCACTCGGGGTCAGAACTTGATTTGGACAAACATGAGAGCAGTTATAGACAAGTGGATCCTGGTATCATTAATTATTCTAGCTGTTACAAAACTCATACATATATTCACCATGAGATGACACCATGACCAACCAGAATAGGAATGTCAACCTTGAATGTCTGTTAAGTTAAAAACAATAAAATTGTAGCAAAAGCACTGGTTACATTATGTAGATGACAGAAATACCTTAGGTTAACAAAAAAGGGGGAAAAAATCAAACAGTTGCAGAAAATGATGTTTCCAGTTGTACTGGAAAAATAAACTTATATTATATTCCATCTCAAAGTAATTCCCCAGGAGTCTTCTAATAAAAAAAGCAAACAGAATTATTGGGAAGACTAATTTCCTTGAAAGAGACCTACCTAAAAGACAAGGCACAAATCTCCAGGCCGGATTTAGAAGCTAAGCCATTACAAGAATATATTTATTTTTAAATATTAAATTGAATGTTTGGAATTCTTTCATTTTTAGTAATTCTAATTTCAGGGTAATGATGCAAAAATGAGAGTCATAGAAATGGACTATGTAACACGGGGAGATAGGTTGGTGATGATAAAGCTGAATTCCTCTCATTGCAGAGCTGAGGGAACGGTAGCCCAGAGAGGTCAGGTGACTCCCCTAAAGACACACAGCCGGTCAATGGTCATATCTGAATTAGAACTAGGACTCTGAGTCCTAGTGTTGTGTTCTTTTGACTAAAATTAATATTCAATAGTATCACCACTAGCCATATGTAGCTATTTAAATTTGTTAATTAAAATGATATAGCATTAATGATTCAGTTCCTCATTCTCATTAACCACATTTCATGTGCTTGATAGCCACACATGGGAAAGGACTACTCATAGCACTGAATATTCCCACTATCAAACAAAGTTCCATTGGATAATGCTGGTCTAGATCAAGAAAATACTGTTTTGTAAATGAAGTCTAATTGTAACTTAGTCACAGATATTTGTTTACCTATTGTGCATTGCTGCTTCTGTGCTACCACAGCAGAATTAGGTAGTTATAGCAGAGATCACATGACCTATAAAGCCTAAAATATTTGCTACTTGACCCTTTAGAGAAAACAATTGCTGACTCTTGTTGAAAAGTAAGCCTGGCTAAATCAACAACAGAGTATTTCTCATTAGATTTGCAGAGGTTAGAAAGTTGAATTATACTCAATACTGGCAAAGGAGTTTATATTGATACCAACTTTTTATCAGTAGTATATTGATGTTTGTTAAAATTAGGAATTCGGGTAACCATTAACCTAAAGAACTCCTTGTATATATTTACAAAAACATACATACACATGATAACATTTGTTGCAGGGTCTCTGAAAGGAGGTGACAGATGAAATTCAGAGTACAGGGTTTTTTAAGCATCAGTACCTTTGGAAGGAGAATTGGGCAGAGGGAAAAACAAACTGTAACGCGGGCCCAATCCCATGGAGAGCTCTTGCGTGTAAGGAGCCTGACCAAGTGTTCTGGCATTGGGCTAAAATATGACCAGGCATTTAAAACCCCACTTTGATCATCATTTGGATGTGACCACCCTTGGAAGGGTTTGCCCGGAGCAGAGTAGCAAACCCCAAAGGAGTGGACAATTGAAGGCTGTCTGCCAATATTTGGGACAAGCAGCCTTTCCATCTCTCTGGCCACCACAAAAATCATGGCATCACTCCTTGTAGTAGAAAAACACTGGAAACAAACAAAATATTTATCATTATTGTTGCTAAGTGCCATTGAGTCAGTTCTGATTCTCATAGTGATCCTGTATAGTATTTCCGAGGCTTTGAATCTTTGCCAGAGCAAGAAGCCTCACCTTTCTCTCATGGAGTTGCTGGTGGGCTTGAACCGTTGATCTTGTGGTTCACAGTTCAGTGTGATCATATGGATCCACCACGCTCCACATCGTCAACAGAAGACTTGTCAAATTGAGTAGGCTAACCTAATGGAATACTATTAAAACGAATACTATTTAAAAATCCCACTGCTATGGAGTCAATTCCCACTCAGTAGACCTTGTGCAGGGCTTCCGAGGCTATAAATCTCTATGGGAACTGAAAGCCTCATCTTTCTCCTAGTGTGACTGGTGGGTTTGAGCTATAGACCTGTGGTTGGCAGTTCAATGCTTATCCTACAGCATCACCTAAATGACATCGATTATTTTAAGAAAGTTCAATGATATGCTATTTATATTTATAAAAAAAGACACTTAAAAATACATAAAATAATGATATGTAGTCAAAATGAGTTGTATGTACTTAGTGAGCTCCTTTCAAGATATTAAGCACTAATGTTCACATTTTAATTTGGTTGTTATTTACTTTCCAGCACCTATATAAACAAGCATGGGAGGCTGACAAGACCAAAATCCACATCATGCCTGATATCCCACAGATTGTTTTGGCGAAGGCAAATGCTATTAATATGAGTGATGTAAGTATAATTCCCCTGTTATCTTTATTTCCATCTCATTTGAATCCGTAAAAACAAAAATTATTAGCCTCCCTTTCAGTTATGAGAGTGAATGTTTAAAAAGTTAATAGTGAAAATCCACCAGTGAAAATTCTTTCTTTCTACTCTTGCTTTGCTCAGAGTTGGCATGTTTGCCAATGGGGATTGGGCGAACAGTTAGGAATTTAAAGGGTGGGCTGGCTTTTGTTTTAGAGACAGGTACTCTATATCAGGACTACTGGTGTGGTGCTGTAGAATCAGCACTAGACTGCGAACCACAAGGTCAGCAGTTCAAAGCCACTAGTTGCTCCTTGGAAACCCTCTACAGGGTTGCTGAGTCAGAATTGACTTGAAAGCACTTTATAACAACAACATTCTATATCAAGTCAAGAGATTGGCAGGAAAAGAACCTGGAGACCAAGAGAAGAATAAAAATGAAAATACCAAGAACTCTTCCTTAGCTCTCTCTACAGAGCTCTTCAGATGGACCTAGAGAGGACTCGGGGAAATTTTAATGAAAAAGAAAGATGAATGTCTTGAAGAATTTTTAGCAAACCCCACAACAAGGAATGTACTATACTGATTAGAAAATGCAGTGGTGTTTTATTTCATTTTTTTCTCTCATCCAAACAGGAAATCCTCTAATCTTACCCATTTTCTTTTGTTTTCGTAGTTTCAATTTTACAAGGTTTTGGGCTTGTTGACTGTTTCTGGATTGTAGAACCCACATAATTCTATAAATAACTGTGTCATTTGTAAAACAGTGATGTTTTCTGTTGATGTGAAAATATGACGGTTTTTTAGTCTTCCCTTAACTCTTTGGATTAAATGCAAAATGTTCTTGGTATATCAGGATATTCCCCCTATAGAAAGAAGTTGGGATGGTAAATAGAAAATTGCCTAACCACAATTTAGAAAGTCTTCAAAGAAAAAGAGCTTCACAAATATGCATTTAAAGATATATATTTACAACCTGATTAAGAACAATAAATTTCTTTTTTTTTTTTTCCTGGTGGTTTCTTGTAAGTACAATCGAGTTTGCAATAGATTTTTTTTTCAAACATAATTTATGTTACCTGTGACAACATTTAAACATTGAGCCACAAGTGAAGTGTTCTTTCAAATACAAAAAGGATGATACAATGCTAGTTTACTGTTGTAAAACCAATTCAGGTTTTTGTACTTAAAAGAAATGTTTCCCTTTTTCTCTCTTTACAGAAACTCTACAAACTTTCTTTGGAAGAGTCTAGAAAGAAAGGCTACGATCTCAGAACTGATGCAATCCCTATCAAAGCTGCCAAATCTTCAAGAGATATTGCTAGTGATGTAAGTCTGCAGACTGTTATTTGGCCAGGGGATTCCATGTGATAAAGGCTGAGTTTTGGAAACTGAGTGAATGAAGTATGAAGAAACCATGCCTGGAAATAAGAACTTCATATTACTCATGAACACTCATAGCATTGTTCCTATGTTTTCTCTGGCATTTCTGATAAAAACAGAACACTTACCACATTATGACCCTCCCTGATTCAGGAGATCTAAGAAAAATTACCATGAACTCTATAATCAAGGCTATGAACAATAGAATCCAAAGCCCTTTGCCAGCGTCATTCTCGACTCCTGCCTCTTAGGATCTATCTGTCTAACAAAATGCCTCATGCAGTGAATTGCTGGAGTTTGCTCATTTGGGCTCATGAGATTTGACTGTTAAACAATTGGGAATTTTGCAATCCAGTTGTCAAACTATTAGAAACTTGACATCACCTACTAGGAACATTTGCACTACAGAAATTGACTAGCAATACAAAGTATTACTCCATTCCTCCTCCTTCACCCCAAGATTTGGTGTACCAGCATACCATTGTCATAACACATCACCCATATGAAACCCAATTCTTTATTTGGGTTGTTTCCACACAAAAGCCACTCACTTGAGGATCATGGGGATCATAGAAAGAGCACATTTTAGAACACTCTGCCTTTGGCCACCCCTACCCACCCCCCAGTTCTACTTTCTCTTACCTCTTTTATCTCTGCTGTTAATCGTCCCCATCTATCTAGTCCTATCCCATTCCTACATTGTCCTGACAACTCCAAATTCTTCTCCCTGTCTTAAGTTGGAATCATTTGACTCTTCTAGCATCTACCTCCTAAACTGCACGCTCAAACTCACAAGAAGAGAGGTAAAACAAGAGGCTCTCTGTGTATCAGGACCTCCCTTCTGTAGAGAGAAGTTGATAAATAGAACATTTTCTTAGCCATTATGTAAGTTTAAAGAATCTTAAAAGTAAAGACCTCCACAAATACAAAGTAACTCTAAAATTATACTGTATAACTTATAATTGATCCTATTCTCATTATTAAATAGCCAAATGGATGATTTCTCAGGATAGCATTTAACTAATTCACAAGTACATTCAAATTTTTTCTGTCACTTGTTGTATTCTTATTACATATTAATGGTCTCTTAAAAACTAACAGAATATATGTGGTATAATCAGAACACCTGGAATCTAATCCTTAGTGATTTTAGCAAGTCATTCACCTCTCTGGTTCTCTGCTTACTCATTTATGAAATGAGAAAGATAATAATGACTGCTCTGCACCTTACAAAGTAGCTGTGAGTATCAATTGACACAGATAAATGTGAAAAACATGTTTCATGAACTGTAAATTTGTATATAAATATTATGAAATACTGAGGGTGCTCCAAAAAGTTCATGGAAAAAAGAAATGACAGGATAATGGAATTTTTCCATAAACTTTTTGAAACCCTCTCATACAGAATATTGATATTAGCATTCATTTAAGTTATAAAAATGGCTCTGAATACATATTCAAATTTTCTTCCCAGTATAAATACAAGTACAATTATGAAAAAGAGAAGGGGAAAATGGTTGGTTTCCGCAGTCTTGAGGATGATCCCAAACTAGTCCATTCCATGCAAGTGGCTAAGATGCAATCTGATCGGGAGTACAAGAAAAACTATGAGAAGACAAAGACCAGTTACCACACCCCTGCCAACATGTTGAGTGTCATGGCTGCCAAGGATGCTCAAGCCAACATCAGCAACACTAACTACAAGCACCTGATTCACAAGTACATCCTCCTTCCAGATGCTATGAACCTTGAGCTGACCAGGAATATGAATCATATACAGAGTGATGTAAGGCTCTCTTCTTTCTGGGTGATGGTTAGATTCCTAGCATGGGAAGGGAAATAGCAACTGAGAAACTCCTTTGTGTCTAAATTGATACGGTGAAATGGAATTTGCCTCTTCTCTCTCTAGAATGAATATAAGCAGGACTACAATGAATGGTACAAAGGGGTTGGCTGGAGTCCAGCTGGTTCTCTAGAAGTGGAGAAGGCCAAGAAGGCAACTGAATATGCAAGTGACCAGAAATATCGCCAGCACCCTAGCAATTTCCAGTTTAAGAAGCTGACTGACTCCATGGACATGGTGCTTGCTAAGCAGAATGCTCACACCATGAACAAGGTAGACAGAACTGCTGCCCTTTCACATGCTCCCAAGTGAGGAGGGCATGGCAGCCTCCACTTCTTGGTTGGGATTTTTAATCCAGGTATACCACATCTGTTTTTGTGTGCCATAGCATCAGTTCCAACTTATAGAGACCCTGCATAGAGTTTCCAAGGGTGTAAGTCTTTACAAGAACAGAAAGACTCATCTTTCTCTAGTGGAGCAGCTGGTAGATTCAAACTGCTAACCTTGCAATTTGCATCCCAACGTGAAACCCATTGTTTCACCAATGGCCCTACTTCTAGGCAACGCTAATAGTTCCAAAGACCATCCCTCATGCACATACAAACCATTTTCTTCTGCCCACATTTCACGTTTTCTTATCCTGTTGTCTAATTAAATGAAGAATCACATATATTTTTATTGCTATACTTTAAGTACTTTCAATCTAGAAGATGGAAAATATTTAAAAGATAATTTCAAAAAGCCTGAGTTTCTTTTTGGTGTCTTTTCTGAGTCATATGCTACTTTAGTTATGAATTTAATTTCTTATACTTTAGACTGAGTGCATTTAAGTAATATCTATAAATCTGCATAGCTATAAATACATATGCATACATTCTTTTCTTTCTGTTTGACCTTAATACTTTTCCAAATTTCAAATGTCCTTTTGTTTTTTAACTTCCTAGCATTTATATACCGTTGATTGGAATAAAGATAAGACCAAGGTTCATGTCATGCCAGATACACCAGACTTTTTACAGGCCAAGCAGAATCAAACATTGTACAGTCAGGTGAGCTACATACAAATTGCTTTAAGTTTTAACTTGAAAGTTGTTTAACTTACTAAGTGATGCCATAATAAATGTAATTGCTGTTGGTAAGTCTTATCCAGTTGGTTCCTACTCATAGCGACCCTGTATAGGGATTCCAAGGATCAACTGGTAGGTTTGAACCACCAGTCTTGTTGTTAGTAATCTAGTACTTATCCTTCAACACCACACCAGGACTCCCCATAATAAATAACTGATGTAAACACTGAAACAAAGAATGACTCAAACTGGTTAGCCTAGAGAGATTGCAAAATACAGTGGTAAGAGCAAGAGCCTAGCTGTGACTGTATACTCTGTGGAGCTGAGCTTTGTGCTTTCTGCTTTTTCAAAGCACTCACTGTGCTTGGCATAATGAGGTCATCAGTAAATAAGTGTTGAAAAAATAAATGCATCTAAGAGACAGTATGAGTATTAGCTTTGTTATTTATGAGTTGTATTTTACTGGGCAAATCACCTACCTCTATAAACCTTTTAGTTTCCTCATCTGTAAAGATTGGGTCATGAAATTTCTATGACCTTGGATTTGCCTTAAGGACCACATGAGAAATTCCAAGTAAAGATCTCAGCACAGGACCTGGCACATAGTTGTTGTTAAGGGCCACCGAGTCAGTTTTGACCCATAGTGACCCTGTATAGGGTTTCTGATGAGCAGCTTGATGAGCTTGAACCGCCTACCTCATGGTTCAAGCCTACCTTGCAGTCCAGAACATTAACCCACAGTGCCATAGGTAGTTTTCACACAATTTATCCATTCAATGATTTGACTCAAAAAGCTTAACTTATTCACTAGAACATATAAAGACACTTATGATCCATCACTTTTATCACTTAAAAGTTGAAAGTTTATGACCCAATTAAAAAAATCAATTCTCTTAATGCCTATATTCCTACCCTCAAAATAGTGAGCTCAGAGTATATTCTTAACAGCAGGAAAAAAGTGCCCAGTGATGACCATATATTTCTTAAAACAGTAAAAGCCATACTCAAGTATATCACCTGGCTATCTCCAAAACACAAAAGCCATGTGATGCTAAGTCAGCATTCTTTCTACTCATCTAAACAACTTGTTTTGTTTTTATCTGACTCTGTAGAGGTATGGTAACTTATGTTAGAATCCGATGTGTATTCTCTAGGTTGATTTTTGTTTAATAATATATTAGTTTGTTTAATCTGGAAAGAAAAATAATAACAAATTTCTTTAATTTTCAGAAATTCTATAAACTTGGATGGGAAGAAGCTTTGAAGAAAGGTTATGACCTCCCAGTTGATGCAATTTCTGTACAGCTGGCCAAAGCTTCAAGAGATATTGCTAGTGATGTAAGTTTTAGTTTGATCTCTAAAATTTTTGCTATCGAGTCGATTCTGATTCACAGATGAGTCTACAGGACAGAATAGAACTGCCCCCTGTAGAGTTCCCAAGTCTTTACAAAAGCAGACTGCCACATCCTTCTCCAGTGGAGCTACTGGTGGATTAGAACCATTAACCTTTCTATTAGCAGCTGAGCACTTAACCACTGCTACCAGGGCTCCTCTTGACTTCGATATTTGTTGTTGTTTGCCATGACTTCAGTACAGATAAACATTTACTGGAATCAGTTAAATGAGGTTGGTAATTACTTTGGCAGCTAGACTTTCATTTTCAAAATAGATTGTTGCTTCTCTTAGTGTTTCCTACCCTTATTGTCCACCCAGAGTTCATTCTAGTTTATCTCTAACCATATGTCAAAAAGTGGTTTCCCAAACAGAAGTTGGACTAGAGGATCTCTAAGAGCTATAGCACTATGATACGATGTCTGTAGACATTACAAAGAAATACGAGAGTTTGGATTTTTCTTACCTGGCCTAATTTTTTTTTTTCTTTTTAAAAAAATCTGTGTTAGACAAATTCAAAGTGCCAGATAATAAATCAAGTCCACCAACCTGATGCTGATGGATTTTATATGTACATATTTAAAAATGAGCTGCAGTTATTCTTGAGACCATCATTGCATTTACATAAAGTGTAGGAAGGGTAAGGACTTGAGGCTTACAGTCCAGAGAGTTTAATCCTACCTACTGCTGGATATATGGTCCAAAGTTCATAGAACAAGGATATTGTTGTTGTTATGTGCCGTGGAGTCGGTTCTGACTCACAGCGTCACTGTACAGGGTTTCCAAGGCTGTATAGTCACTCTCAAAAAGGCAGCTTCTAGTTGTGATTTTTTTTAAGGACAGTACATTTGATAGGCAAATTATATACAGCCCTTATTGATATTGAATGTATATGAATATTTGATTCTGATATTGTACACATAGACACGCATATAATTTTGTTGATTCCAACAATGAACCATGAAACATTTCAGAGCAAATGATTATGTATTACCACCAGAATTGCATAAGGAAATACAACTAAATAAAAAATCTTTAGAACAAGACAAAGCAAGGGTTTGATTTAATATGCACCTTGAAAAACAGAGAGGAGAGAAAGAGTGTCTAAAGGCAGAATGTGACAATAAATTCTAAGACTACCAGGGAAAGTGAAAAAATATTGCTTTAGAGCTCCAGTTCATACATACACGTGTTTATCCCAAACAAAACATGTTTAAACATGTCTCTGAGATTAATATATGACTGTAGACAAATTCTGTCAGTAATACATTAAGGAATTTATTAGGAAGATAGTTATCTTAGTCTCCTCGTGAGGGTACCTTTAAAAAAAGGTCCAATTGAAATAACAGCAACAGGGTCAGTTAAATTCAAGCCAGAGAGGTCACCTCAGAAGGTCATGGCAACTGTTTTTTTGGATTCCAAAATGGTAATCTTGATAGATTTTCCACAAAGGACACAGGATGATCACAAGGATTTATTAGAAAGATGCTTCAAGGAAATTAAAAATCATATTGGTGAGAAAAATCCAGAAAAGTTGAGCGGAGGAATTTTTTTCCCATCACAACAATGCTCATTCTTTGAGAGTAGTAAGGTATATCCTACAAGAATTTCCTTGGAAAACTGCCTAATCTACACTATAGTTCTGCTCTTGCGTCTGCATACTTATTTTTTCCCCTAAAATTCAAAGAAGATTTAAAAGGAACATGATTTGAGTTCCTCAAGGCTTCGACAGTGCTGTTTTGATGTGGTGTAAATCTAATAAAGCAGAATTCTTCAGGGACAGGTTAGAGAGATGGTAACAATGCCTTCAGAAGTGTAGAGACCTAGACGGATGATATATTAAGGAATAATAGCTTCATGCTTTTATATTTTTGTTTAATAAAAGTTTCTATGAATTTGTAGCAATATTTTTTTACTTCTTACAAAGAAAGACCTTTTTAATCCACCTAATTTGTGGCATTCTGAAGGTGTTGGATAATTAATTCAATGATGGATTCTTATCCATTCTCTGGTTTGCAGGTCAATACCTCATTAAAACGAATCAATGTGGTGGTGAGCCTGAAGCAATAATGGTGCTTGAATATTTCCCATAAAATAAACTCATTTTCATTTAAGCTTATGTGTTCCCTATAAATTAAAGATAGATTCAGAATTGAAAAACTTGCATCAGTAATTTTCTAGCGACCCAACAACTACTATCTAATTTCTTTTCGTGTGAATCCATTACTTGGAGCCTTTCAAAACCTGACCTTAAAATTAACTATGAGAGAACTTTCATAGCCACTGTATGGACAATACACATTATCTCCTTTTGGTGTCAAGTGGTTTTGTATCTATGAAAGTTCAGAAAATTAAAGTTATTTTTACATGTCCTTTCTTTAATTAGTTAGAATCAGAATTTAGATTAGGAAGATAGTTTAACAATTATGTAATCCATTCTCCCACCTAATGTTCTACCTTCTCTTTATCTCTAATAGGTAGTTATTCAGTGTATGCAAACTATCAAATATAGATAAGAATCTCAGTACCTTCCAGAGCAGGTCATTTTCTTGTTGGATCCTCTCTCAATGTCATTATATTTTTCCTTATTTCATCCTTTAGATTTTACTGATAGGTCTGCGCTCTGAAACAACACCAAGTAGCTTATTCCTCTCTTACTTGCTGTGTCTATATATTTTAAGTTGTTTGCTTGTTCTCTTTTGTTCTTAGGTTTATAAGCCAAGCATACATCATAAGAGAATAAAACCTACTATCATGAGAAAAAAAAAATTCTGCTACTTAATAAATTAATGTATATAACATAGCCCATTCAACAAGTCTTAAATCTTTCTAATTTTTCTACCATTCCATCCATAATGAATAAGATGATGAATACCATTTTCATAAGTATATCACAAGAGCTTTCTCAAATGTTACCTATTAGTAAGGGTACACAATGTCTAGCATATACCAGCAATGCTTCTGCCTCTAGTTAGATTTAATTCATTGTAACTTCTCTTGATATTCAACTCTGTTAGATTTCTTTAGAAACCTTCACTTAAACAAGACTTTGTATTTTTCATTTTTGGTAAAAAAAAACATATGCAAAAATGCAAATAGAACTTAACATGATCTTTATGTGAATAAAAGAAATGTGTTGCCTCTTATTTCAGCACAAATATAAACAAGGCTACCGCAAACAACTTGGTCACCATATTGGATTCCGGAGTGTGCAAGATGACCCAAAGCTTGTGTTGTCCATGAATGTAGCCAAAATGCAGAGTGAAAGAGAATATAAAAAGGACTTTGAGAAGTGGAAGACTAAGTACACCAGCCCAGTGGACATGTTGGGAGTGGTGTTAGCTAAGAAATGCCAGTCCTTGGTCAGTGACATTGACTACAGGAACATCCTGCATCAGTGGACATGTTTACCTGACCAGAATGATGTTATTCAAGCTAAAAAAGTTTATGAACTACAGAGTGAGGTCAGTTTCTATTCAATCAAATCATATCTCATATGAGTAGTCATTTGATAGTAGAGAACACAGACACTAGTAAGATAATTATTATTGAAAATCTGAAATGTATCTGATTGGAACACATAGAGTCATGTGAGTAAAGGGTCCAGGTGGGAAGGACACTGATGACTTGCTTTGTCCTTTCACAGAACGCATATAAGTCTGACCTTGAGTGGCTGAAAGGCATAGGATGGTGTCCTTTGGGATCTTTGGAGGCAGAGAAAAACAAGCGGGCTTCAGATATCATCAGTGATAAAAAGTATCGTCAGCCAGCAGACAAAAACAAATTCACGAGCATTCCAGATGCCATGGACATAGTTTTGGCAAAAACAAATGCCAAAAATAGGAGTGACGTGAGTAACCCTTTGGAAATAAATAAAATCGATTATAGTGCCTGCCACCTCATAGGTTGCTGTTGTTGTTAGGTACCATTCGGTCAGTTTGGACTCATAACAATCCATACATATTGCAGCAAAATGAGACACTGTCCAGGCCTCAGCTATCTTCATAATTGTTGCAACCACTGTGACGATCAATCTAGTTGAGGGCCTTCTTCTCTTTTGCTGACCCTCTACTTTATCAAGTCCTTCTCCAGGGACTGGTCCTTTATGATAGCATGTCCAAAGTATGTATGATAAAGTCTTGCCATCCCCACTTCATTCTAACTGTACTTCTTCTGAGACAGATTTGTTTATTCTTCTGGCAGTTTATGGTATAACCAATGTTCTTCAGCAACATAATTCAAAGGCATCCATTAATCTCAGGTCTTCTTTCTCATTGTCTACCTTTCACGTGCATGTGGCATTAAAAATAACATGGCCTGAGTCAGGCACACCTGACTACTCAAAGTGAATTATTTGCTGTTAAACAACTTAAACAGGTCTTTTGCAGCAGATTTGGCTAATGAAATATGTTATTTGATTTCTTGACTGCTACTTCCATGGGTGTTGGTTGTGGATCAAAGTGAAATTAAATCAATGACAAATTATTTTCTCCCTTTATCATGATGTTGCTTATTGGTGCAACTATTGAAGATTTTTGTCTTTCTTATATTGAAATGCAATCCATACTAAAGGCTATATTCTTTGATCTTCATCGGTAAGTGCTTCAAATTCTCTTCAACTGTAATAAGCAAAGTTGTGTCATCTGCATATTGCAGGTTGTTAATGAGTCTTGCTCCAAGCTTGATGTCCTGTTCTTCATATAGCTGAACGTCTCAGATTATTTGTTCAGATACAGATTGAATTGTAGTGTAAGGATACAATTCTGACACATACATTTCCTGATTTGAAACCTTGCAGTATCTTCTTGGTGGGTTGAAACAACTGTTTCTTGATCTATGTACAGGTACTGCATGATCATAATTAAATGTCCTGGAATTCCCATTTTTCTCAATGTTATCCAACATTTTTTATGATCTACATGGTGGAATGCCATTGCATATTCAATACAACACATGTAAACACTTCCCTGAAATTCTCTGCTTTCAGCCAAGGTCCATTTGACATTAGCAATAATATTCCTAGTTCCACATCCCCTTTAGAATCTGCTTGAACTTCTGGCATTTCTCTCTCTATGTGTTATTCCAACTGTTTTGAGTCATCTTCAGCAAAATTTTACTTGCAAGTGATATTGTTTGATAATTTCTGAATTCTGTTAGATCGCCTTTCTGTTCAATGAACACAAATCTGAGCAGATAAGAGCACTTTCAGCACTCCATCTGGTTGTTGAAGTATCTCAGTTGGTATTCCATCCATTCCTGGAACCTTGTTTAGTGTCAATGCCTTCAGTGCAGCTTGGACTTCTTCCCTCAATACCATCAGTTTTTTTTGTTTTGTTTTTATAAAATGCTACCTCCTGAAATGGCTAATTGTTGACCAATTTATTTTGTTACCGTGACTCTGTGTATCTTTCCATCTTCTTTAGATGTGTCCTGTGTCAATTTTTTTGCCCATGTTGTTGTTGTTATACAATCCTTCAATACTTCAACTTGAGGCTTGATTTTTTTCCTTCCATTCTTTCAGCTTGAGAAATGCCAAGCATCTTCTTCTCTTTTATTTTTTTAGCTCCAGGTCTTTGCACGATAATATTTTGCTTTATCTTTCTCAGCCACTTTTGAAATTCTGTTCCACTCTTTCACTTCATCATTTCTTCCATTTGGTTAAGCTACTCTACATTCAAGAGCAAGTTTCAGAGTCTCTTCTGACATTCAATTTGGACTTTTCTTTCATTCCTGTCTTTTTAATTATCTTTTGCTTTCTTCATGTATAATGTCCTCAGTGTCATCCCACAATTGTCCTCATCTTTAGGTGATTAGTGCACAATTCATCAACTCTGTTCTTGAAATGATCTCTAAAATCAGGTGAATATATTCAAGGTCATCCTTTGGCTTTCATGTACTTTTAATTTTCTTTGGCTTCAACTTGAACTTACATATAAGAAATTGATGGTCTATTCCACAGTCGACCCCTGACCTTGTTCTGACTGTTAGTGAGTTTCTCCATTATCTCTCCCCAGATGTAGTTGACTTAATTCCTGTGTATTCAATCCAGCAAGATCCATGTGTATAGTTACCATTTAAGTTGCTAACAAAAGGTATTTGCAATTAATACATTGTTGGTTTTGTGGAATTCTATCATGGCATCATTTCTATCATCAAGGCCTTATTTTCTAACTGGTGATCCTTCTTGTTTGTTTCCAGATTTCACATTCTAATCATCAGTAATTGTTAATGTAGCTTGACTGTATGTTTGATCAACTTCCAACTGCAAAACCTGGCAGAAATCTTCAATATCTTTATCTTTGGTGTTAGGGTTTGGTGTATGAATTTGAATAGTAGTTGAACATTCATGCTTTGAAATTTGACTATATTAGAAATTCATATGTTTTTGTTGGGGTGGAGTGTGTGAGGAGAGATTCTGAGTACCGTACAGAGGCAAAGTAGAAATGTTATAGTGTATTTTCTGTCAAATTATTGTAATGCATTTAATTTAGCTAAATCAAGATAATTTGATATATCACTGCATATATGTTCCATTTTTACTTATTTTCTGCTGTAGCATTGACCAGCATGTGTCATATAGTAGATGCTCAATAAATATTTATTGAATAAAATAAATAAAAGCTAGCATTATGCAGTAATTTTAAGTGAAAAAGTGACAAAACACTGCTTGACTAGAAACAGAATCCTGAAAATTATAACAAGTTAAATTGTGTGCACTTAAATTCTGGAATGGGTAAGAACCAATAATAACCATTTGGATCTCAAAAGTATACATACATGTATTTATATATGTATTGTTGTTGTTGTTATGTGCCGTGGAGTCGGTTCCGACTCATAGTGACCCTGCATAGGGTTTCCGAGGCTGTAAATCTTTACAGGAGCAGAAAGCCTCATCTTTCTCCCACAGAACAACTGGTAGTTTCGAACTGCTGACCTTGCAGCTCACAGCCCGATTCATAACCACTATGCTACAAGAGCTCCATATGTATTAAATATATATAAAATATATTTTAAGAAATTTTATGTAATATATATAAGCCCATAATCAGCTTATAGCAAGCATTTGACAAATTGTAGCTTCTCTTTTCCCAATCAACTTCCTACAGCTTTTTTGCTATTTTAATATCCAAAGCATACAATAAATACAGAGCTATTAGCTTAATTATTGTTTGTTTTTATTTCTTTGTTTTGTTTTTTATGATAGCAATTTGAATCCAACCAGCTAACTAATAAACCACCAAATTTATGCATACATTTTTCCCTTTCTTGGAATCCAGGTTTACTCTCTTTCCATGAGACAGGGTTATTTAAAAGCTCTGAACTAATAAGGTGAGCAAAGCAGAAGCTATGGATTATGAAATTTGTCAGCATAAATGTTCTAGAACAAAATTCCCCAACAGTGTGCCCTGGCTACAAAGACATTGAGATATTGATTCCCTCAAACCTCAGGACCTGGTCCAGTTGGGGTTCCTTGAGATTGTTGTCTCTGTTTTTGAACGGACTAAAACATCTATCCCAGTATCAAACAAATCTCGTCATTTTCTCTGTGTGCTCGGGATGAAAATGTCACATGCCATTGAAAAGATGACTTCTTGGAAGTATGAAATGTAAGAAAGAGAACTATGTGGTATAGATGTGATATCATGACTAGCTGGTATAGGGAGCATTTGGCAGTATCTGGAGACATTCTTAGTTGTTACAGCTTGAGAGGGAGGGTGCCACTGGCATCTAGTGGGTAGAGCCTATGGATGCTGCAAACCACCCCACAATCCATAAGACAGCTCCCCACCAACAACAAAGACTCATCTAGTCCACAATGCTAGTACTGCTGAGGTGAGAAACTCTGGTCATGTTCAGTTAGAAAGGACAGAAAAGAACTGGGATAAATGTATATGAAAATTAACAATCCTTTATTTTGATCCCAAAGTTCTTAATCAGATTTTTTGGGTTATATGGACTGTAGTGAGAAAGCTCAGAAAAGAGAAAAATGCCAGCTTCACATACCACACTACTCAGAGGGATATTGACAAGTCCAAGGAACCAATGAGACTTTAAAAATTAGTATTTTGAAATAATTTCAGACATAAAGAAAAATTTCAAGAATAGTATAAAAATTCGTATATACTACACTCCTCCATGGAAACCCTATACTGGGTTTCTATGGGTCATAATCGACTCAATGGTATTGTAGTATAAGCACTGGACTGAGAACCACAAGGTCAGTTGTTCAAACCCACCAGCTGTTCCTTGGAAACCCTATACCGGGTTGTTATGAGTCAAAACCAACTCCACAACACTTAACAACAACAACACACATATATACACATGCATATAAGGGCAAATCAAAAATTATTGCCACTAGGTTTCCAGTTCATATATGTATGATTTTATTCCAAACAAAATTGTGTTTAAATGTCTTTACAATCGGTGGGTGGCTGCAACAAGTTCTCTCAGTAACACACTCCTCTTAGTCCCATTAGGGTGCCTTGAAAAAAGATCCAATCAAAATAGTATCTTCTGAGGAGATATGATGGGTAAGTTAAATTCAAGACATACAAGTCAGTTTTATGACTGTCTTTTTTAATTTCAAAGGGGTAATCTTGATAGAGTTCTCAAAGGACAGGAAAATTACAGAAACTTATTAAGAAGAACTTTTTTAAAAATTGAAAACCATTAATGAGAAGAAAAAAAAGCCAGTAAAGTTGTACTTGTTCATTCTTCAAGGATAGCAAAGGCTGTCCGACAAGAATTTTATTGGAAAACCTTACTCCATTTACCTTACATCCCTGATCTTGTCTGATTTCTATTTGTTCTTCAAATTCAAATAGTATTTAAAAGGAACACAAAGTA